TGTTGAGTGGCGCAGTTCATGTCATGGCATTCTATATTCTATTTACCCAGCATGCCCTAGGACCTGTGCGTGCAAAGAAGATCATTGTAAAAGTTTCACTCTCAGGATTACATGATGGGATTTTTATTATTCCATATTTCTCCTATTCTCCAAGCTGCATAAAGCGTGCAGGAACAATAATGTAACGTGTATTCCTGCTGCTGGAGGCCTCATAGGTGCCACAAATCTCTCTGACCACGTGACATCACAATGAGGATTCCAATGTCATTGCATCTCGTGGAATTTGGACCTGCTGAAATTGTCTAGCAATCATGTCTGCCTGTAGAACGTATTCACTAAATAATGAAATATACAGAGTTAACAAGGAGTGGCAAAATTCAGACTAAAACAGTCAATCTGTGAATATAATGACGCTGAAAAATTTCCAGACCAGATATTTTAAATCTAAATATTGCAATTTATTGTTTAGTGAAGTATATTCGTTGGAAATAGGTTTTAAGGGCGGCATGTACTATTAACGTGCAAAATATATCCTAGATGTTAAAGAGGAAATGTCTCAAATATATGTTTGTGAAGACTGAAAAAAAAATGAAAAAAAAGGAAAAATAAACATCGCTGTGTTGACCTTCATCCTGCACACCAACCATATTGTTTTAGGATGCTACACAATGCACAATTTTAAGAAAATATCAAAGTTTTCTGGGAACTCATATACTATAAGGACTCATATAATATCAGGACTCATATAATATCAGGACTCATATAATATCAGGATTCATTTAAAATCAGGATTAATTATCAGGACTCAGATAATATCAGGATTCATATAATATCAGGATTCATTATCAGGACTCATAATATCAGGATTCATATTAGGACTCATATAATATCAGGACTCATAATATCAGAATTCATTTAATATCAGGATTAATTATCAGGACTCATATAATATCAGGATTCAATATCAAGACTCATAAAATCAGGATTCATTATTAGGACTCATATAATATCAGGATTCATATAATATCAGGACTCATAATATCAGAATTCATTTAATATCAGGATTAATTATCAGGACTCATATAATATCAGGATTCATATAATATCAGGACTCATAAAATATCAGGATTCATTATCAGGACTCATATAATATCAGGATTCAATATCAAGACTCATAAAATCAGGATTCATTATTAGGACTCATATAATATCAGGATTCATATAATATCAGGACTCATAATATCAGAATTCATTTAATATCAGGATTAATTATCAGGACTCATATAATATCAGGATTCATATAATATCAGGATTCATATAATATCAGGACTCATTATCAGGACTCATATAATATCAAGACTCATCTAATATCGAGACTCACATAATACCAGGACTCATATAATATCAGGATTCATATAATATCAGGACTCATAATATCAGAATTCATTTAATATCAGGATTAATTATCAGGACTCATATAATATCAGGATTCATATAATATCAGGACTCATATAATATCAGGATTCATTATCAGGACTCATATAATATCAGGATTCAATATCAAGACTCATAAAATCAGGATTCATTATTAGGATTCATATAAAATCAGGATTCATATAATATCAGGATTAATTATCAGGACTCATATAATATCAGGATTCATATAATATCAGGACTCATATAATATCAGGATTCATTATCAGGACTCATATAATATCAGGATTCAATATCAAGACTCATAAAATCAGGATTCATTATTAGGATTCATATAATATCAGGATTCATATAATATCAGGATTAATTATCAGGACTCATATAATATCAGGACTCATATAATATCAGGATTCATTATCAGGACTCATATAATATCAGGATTCAATATCAAGACTCATAAAATCAGGATTCATTATTAGGATTCATATAATATCAGGATTCATATAATATCAGGACTCACATAACATCAAGATTCATTATCAGGACTCATATAATATCAAGACTCATCTAATATCGAGACTCACATAATATCAGGACTCATATAATATCAGGATTCAATATCAAGACTCATAAAATCAGGATTCATTATTAGGACTCATATAATATCAGGATTCATATAATATTAGGACTCACATAACATCAAGATTCATTATCAGGACTCATATAATATCAAGACTCATCTAATATCGAGACTCACATAATATCAGGACTCATGTAATATTAGGACTCATAGAGAATACCAAAATGATACCGCACTCAATCTTATAGCAAAATAGAAAAAGGTTAGTTTATTAGCACAACATAGTGGTATAGGAAAGAGTGCTAATTGATCCAATGTACAGATAAATATATATCCCAGTTGGCATAACTAGTCCACCAAATTTAAAGTGCAAAACATTACTTAAAGTGCTTAGTGCCAAATCACCATAAGTATTAAAACTCAATACACTAACATACAAACAAATATACAGATACAATTACAATACTGCCTGCCAACAGTTCCTATGCACAAAGCAAATAACTAGGATAAATAGAGGGCACACAGATGTCAGTAATCTGTGCAGCAGAGTTCCTGAAGTATACTTAACGTGTCAATGATCTGTCCCGATCCTGAGTGTATGGTGGTAGATCCAATACAGACAAAATGAAAAACAAAAAAATCTAAATGCAAAATATTAAAAATGAAAAAAATATGAAAGATATATGTCTTAAAAAAATGTTCCGTAGTAAAGTCTAAGTTAGATCTCACCCAAAAGTATAGAAGGAAGCCTCCTGATGGACAATCATAATGTAATAGATTCTCCTGAAAGTAGGAAAAGGATGGGTTCATCCACTGTAGGTCTCCTACACTTAATCTGTAGGAGTTCCTTATTTAGTAGCAGGATGGAGGTAGGCAGATCCGGGTACGCGCCGGGTGCTTGGAGCCAGAACGAGAGCCCCTCACCTCACCGGGTAAGTGAAAAAATGATAAGAGTAGTGGTATTTCTACGGCAGCGCCCGTGGCTCGCGAAGGAGCAGGGGCCTCCCACTTATCCTACAATCAGCAGGGAAAGAAGACCCTGTTGAGCTTGACTCTAGTCTGCAACTGTGAAGAGACATGAGAGGTGCAGGATAACCACTGGTGAAATACCACTATTATTATCGTTTCTCGCTTCTAGCTCCAAGCACCCAGATCTGCTTACCTCCATCCTGCTGCTACATGCTGCTCCATCCTGCTACTACATAAGGAACTCCTACAGACAAAGTGAAGGAGATCTACAGAGGATGAACCCATCCTTTTCCTACTTTCAGGATAATCTATTACATTATGATTGTCCATCAGGAGGCTTCCTTCTATACTTTTGGGTGAGATCTAACCTAGACTTTACTACAGAACGTTTTTTTTAATACATATTACATAGTTACATAGCTGAAAAGAGACTTGCGTCCATCAAGTTCAGCCTTCCTCACATTTGTTTTTTGCTGTTGATCCAAAAGAAGACAAAAAAAAACCCAGTTTGAAGCGCTTCCAATTTTGCAACAAACTAGGAAAAAAATTCCTTTTGACCCCATAATGGCAGTCAGATGTATCCTTGGATCAAGCAGTTATTACCCTACATTGAAAGATTATATCCTTGAATATTCTGTTTTTGCAAGTATGCATCTAGTAGCTGTTTGAACCACTTCTTTAGGCAGAGAATTCCACATCCTTATTGTTCTTACAGTAAAAAAACCTTTCCTTTGCCTTAGACGAAATCTTCTTTCTTCCAGTCTAAACGCATGGCCTCGTTTCCTATGTAATTATACATTATGATTATAAACTATACATTATGATTGTCCATCAGGAGGCTTCCTTCTATACTTTTGGGTGAGATCTAACTTAGACTTTACTACGGAACGTTTTTTTTAATACATATATCTTTTTCATATTTTTTTCTTTTTTATATTTTGCATTTAGATTTTTTTGTTTTTCATTTTGTCTGTATTGGATCTACCACCATACACTTACGATCTGGACAGATCATTGACACTTTAAGTATACTTCAGGAACTCTGCTGCACAGATTACTGACATCTGTGTGCCCTCTATTTATCCTAGTTATTTGCTTTGTGCATAGGAACTGTTGGCAGGCAGTATTGTAATTGTATCTGTATATTTGTTTGTACGTTAGTGTATTGAGTTTTAATATTTATGGTGATTTGGCACTAAGCACTTTAAGTAATGTTTTGCACTTTAAATTTGGTGGACTAGTTATGCCAACTGGGATATATATTTATCTGTACATAGGATCAATTAGCACTCTTTCCTATATCACTATGATGTGCTAATAAACTAACCTTTTTCTATTTTGCTATAAAATTGAGTGCGGTATCATTTTGGTATTCTCTACTATTTCATTGTGGGTCTTGAGAGGTGACCCAGATACCTGCACCTTAGGTGTGATTGAGTGCAGGTACTATTTGTTTTTTGTTGTTGTAATATTAGGACTCACATAATATCAGGACCCACATAATATCAGGACTCAATTTTGGTACCTTAATTTGGAACCGGACTAAACTCTGTATGTGCAGAGTGTTAAAGAGCAATACTGCACATAGGTACCATGACCACTTCAAAACACTGAAGTGGTCATGGTGTTTGGATTAACCCTATAATACAGGACATTCATGGCATTCCAGCAAATTTGCAGTGTATTAAAAAAGTGTTTCCATCCTGACTCCCAATAAGTCAGTGTTATCGGCTCGGTCCTTTTCTGTCAATGAACTTAGTAAGAGGGTGTGCCTTGGCTGTGCCCTGACTGTGCCTTGGCTGTGCCCTGACTGTGCCCTGACTGTGCCCTGACTGTGCCTTGGCTGTGCCTTGGCTGTGCCTGGACTGGACTGGATTGTGATATCATTTGCTAAATCTTTAATGCACATTTAAAGAAAACAGAGAATCACATGAAAAACATTAACACAGGTTATGTCAAATGTTTTATTTCATTAATTTCACTCAATGTCATAGTTAGCAACTACAACTTTCCCTGTAAAATAAAAACCAGCACAAAATGACCATTAAAATGACACACCGCCATCTTCAGCAGAAATAAATAAAGTTTATTATGTTCGTCCAAAGCGTCAGATGCAGAAGAGCTTTTTATAAACAGCCCTAAACGCCGGAGCGAAGGTCAAGACTGAGATGGAATGGTGGAATGGAATGGTGAAACATTTACTGTAAACGCCACAGATGCTAACGCCATTCTCACGACTCATATCCTGCTTCCCGCTATCTGTTTGGCTACACATCTGGGTCTATTGTGTACGATTAAAATCTGCCTGGAGGTTTTGTTATTTTTACATTTTGTTATGTCTAGTGAAAGACAACTATCTAAATGGAGCTTTAAGAAAACATCCAAAGTGGATCTTACAGAAAAAATCACTTTATTAATATTATAAACAAAAGTCTAAATATTACAATAATGTTAGTTCCTTTTTTTAAAAACAAAACGAAACGTGGAGAGGTTTTAAAAATTCCTTTAATAATATGATTGTTATGGTGTTTGCTATTATTATCATTTTATTATTTATATAGCGCCATTAGATTCCGTAGCGCTGTACAATGCTGTGATAGCACTAGACCTCCGTTTAACCCTCATATCAAACTACAAAGGTATACATTGAAGATTTCATTTCTCATGACCCCTATAATCTAAGCCATCTTTTACTCTACCTTCCGTAATACTTAGCCTATTTCCAAACCCACCAGGATAAGTAAATATATTAAAAGTTAATATATTTTTTGAAAAGCTTTTTAAATGATTTCATATTTTGAAAAATATTTGAATTTTTTTATATATTATTTCTTACATGTGTGATATAGTTTTTGATCTTTTCATATTTTGAAAAAAATAATCTTAAAAATGTATCCAAAAATCTTTTGAAAAGCTTATTAAATCGAGGCCTTAATCAGAGAACCTTTTAGATGTGCTGCTATCTAAAAACAAACCCTTATAATATGTTTCTCAGTGCTGATGGTTTAGATATCTATAAGCTCATAATGAAATTGTATCTATGTAGCTGCACCTTTGCATGTTGGCTGGACAAGGCAGAGCCGGTGGTTACGTTTCCCGAAACGCCAGGTGTGCTTTACAATATATGAAATTATGTTATATTTAAACACTGTATTTAATACGATCTTCATCTCTGCTTTCTCCTAGAAACGCTTTCTGATCAGGAAGCTTCTATAACACAGAACACGTACCAGGTGAAATGCAAAGAAAGCTGGCTTATTGTGGGCAGTTTGCTTTTTGAAATATGTTACAGAACAATTGTCAGGATCAAAGTGTGTTTCATTAAGTTATGCTAGATGGGTTTTTTTTTGTTTTTTTTAAAAAAATAATCGTATGTTTTATTCCATTAGAACACCCTCTCTGCACCTCCCTTGCAACCTTCAGTGTTTTATTTTATAGCTCCCCAAATACATCATGTTGGGACTTTGGTTTCTAAGAGTAGAAAACTAACAACTGAACTGCGATTATGTTTAACTGAGTCACTTCCTTGCTGTATGTAGAAGCTGCAAAGACTGGAGTTTTGCAGAAAATCTTGGAAAATCAAATGTGAGTATATTTTTTGAATACTGAGTGCACTGTATTTGCATATAGTTCTTAAAACGTTTTTATATAATGCATTAATACATTAATGGGTTTTATCAGTTTGAAGAGTCCAATTAACACATACCCCACACAAGCATGAAATATTTACCAAACAAACATTACGTATCAATAAACATGCTCTCATCCTCATAGATAAAGAAAAATAGCTACCCGTAAATTGTTGTTGACTTGGACCTGCGTGTCCACGAGTGTTACATTTGATGCTTTACTTTACGGACAATAAAATCTTATTCATCAAAAAAAAAAAGAAAAGATAAATAGCTGAGATTGAATTATACAAGATATAACGTCGGAGAGACATTCGGTAACACACAGTAGAGAGTAATGAGAGTAAAAAAGATCTAAGGACTTGGAGGACTACACATAAACCTTCTGTAGATTTCTCCACCTCTGGTCAGTGTCTAGATAGCGGGCGTAGAACACGGCCCACAAAACAGCAAGATAGGATGTGAGAGTTTCTTTCCATGCAATACTTACTGCCAGCATTAATATTTGTTTGAAATGAAAGAATGGGGGCGAGGTCACCATAAAAAATTATTGCTGAATCCACGTCGGTGTGAATTTAGTCAGATGGTTGTAATTAACACGGATCCCCTTCATTATTCTGTTTGCTTCATTTATACAAGTTTGTAATACTTTTCCTCGTTTTTTTAATGATTAAACATTTCTAGTTCTTCTTAAAAACGACTTTGTTGCCTTGTTTAAAAAAAAAATATCAAATTTTTTTTATAAAGTATCTGACTGGGAGTTTCCAAGGATAATAAGCGTTAATGGAATACTGAAGAGGATAAATACTGGACTATGTATAGATTCTAAACGTGGCATTTTACTACTGGTGAGAGGCCATATCTCCATTCTGTAATTCTTCCGAGAATAGAGGATAAAGGCAGAGATGGATACACCACTTAGGTCCCAAATTTGGCATCCATCACTAACCTCTGTCTACCCAAGCCTCCACCATTCCTTTATAAGGAATTTATTCCTGAGCAGAGCAACAATCTGTGCGCCTGGAAAACTGCACGCAGAATGCCAGAAATATCCCCGATAAGTAAATGCTAAGGAGGAGGCTGATAACAAATGAAGCCCTTCATCTCTATGTAAATCATGTCTCGTTGACATCTTACAGGGGTCCAAAACCATCCGAGCCCACCCACCCAGTTCAGACAGACTGCGGGTTGGGACATATTTTAAGTTTATTTAAGTAAAGGAACATTTAATTGTTGAATTCATTTGGGGCGCACATTAAAGAGAAAGGAAAGTGTATTTTTTTGGTTTATTATAGTGAATCTCTTTATTATGAGTTGGAAATTTTGATTGACAGTGGTTTAGTAAGCGTGTGACCTATAATTAATACCCCTCAAAGTGCCGTGCCTTTAAATAATAAGAATTAGAATCTGAAAGCATTTTACGATATAGGTCATTATTTAAGAATGGATGTTTTGTGTGCACTGGCAGTTGGGACTATTGACCTACCCGACAGATCAAATTCATCTGTATTAATCTGTCTGCTTTCTTGGGATATGTCTGGTGGTTGGTATCGGGGTATTGACATGTTTGGTGGTTGGTATCGGGTATTGACATGTTTGGTGGTTGGTATCGGGGTATTGATATGTTTGGTTGTTTGTATCGGGGTATTGACATGTTTGGTGGTTGGTATCGGGGTATTGACATGTTTGGTTGTTTGTATCGGGGTATTGATATGTTTGGTGGTTGGTATCGGGGTATTGATATGTTTGGTTGTTTGTATCGGGGTATTGACATGTTTGGTGGTTGGTATCGGGGTATTGACATGTTTGGTTGTTTGTATCGGGGTATTGACATGTTTGGTGGTTCGTATCGGGGCATTGACATGTTTGGTGGTTTGTATCGGGGCATTGACATGTTTGGTGGTTCGTATCGGGGTATTGACATGTTTGGTGGTTCGTATCAGGGTATTGACATGTTTGGTGGTTCGTATCGGGGCATTGACATGTTTGGTTGTTTGTATCGGGGTATTGACATGTTTGGTGGTTCGTATCGGGGTATTGACATGTTTGGTGGTTCGTATCGGGGCATTGACATGTTTGTCTGTTGGTTCAGATCGGAATATTGACCTGTCTCTTGGTTTGGATTGAGGTATTGACCTGTCTGTCTGTTTGGATTAAAGTATTGATCAATCTGGTGGCTTGGATTTGGGTATTGACCTGTCTGTTGGTTTGGATTGGGTTATCGACCTGTCTGTTGGTTTGGATTGAGGTATTGATATGTCTGTTGGTTTGGATTGGGGTATTGATCAATCTATTGGTTTGGGTTGGGTTATCGACCTGTCTGTTGGTTTGGATTGAGGTATTGATATGTCTGTTGGTTTGGATTGGGGTATTGATCAATCTATTGGTTTGGGTTGGGGTATTGATAGGTCTGGTGGTTTAAATTGGGGCATTGATGGGCCTGTGTAATAATGCTTTTGTATATGGAGTGAGAAGACATATTATACTGCAGTCCTGTACACATAGAACATGTCTATAGTATGTCATAGTCTGTGTTACAAATATTATGGCATGTATATAGTACAAATGTCATTTTATTTAAAACCAGCATATAGTCCTAGTAACAGCAGGCTCTGACACAGGTTTTTTTAAGAAAAAATATCTAAATTTTAATAACTAGCGTTTCTTTGAATCGCATCCTGTTACATTTCGGAATCAAATGTAAAAATAGCATAAAATTTATATTGTTATTTTATTATCTTGAGTTTACTTTAAAACATAAACTATTTACTTTCAAGTGATAAATGTTTATAAGATTTAAACTTGTATTAGTGGAGAATGTGTAACTTTGGGTAGTTTGTGATATTATAACAGTACTGCATTCCCGTACCAGCCAATTGTTCTACATTCTGACTCATAGCTGTAGTTTGCAAAGCTTCCAGTAGGTGGCACAAACGCAGTCCGTAACAATTGTATTGTACTGTTTTCTATGATTCTAAACCTGTTACAAAATATTTCGACGATATTCTCCACATATAATTAAATTCAAAATGTAATGCAGTTTTGAATTACTAACACTATAGTGTTCTTTTAACAGATTTCAGAGAAGTGTCACCTCTCAACTACGTGATAGATAGACCTTCTATGGAAGGTTCATTCAAAATATTGCAGATTCCGTCTCAGGAAAATATAGTCTATGTCTCTGATAAAGTGCCAGGCTAGACCCAAAATACGTCAAAACGCATCATTTTCCCTGTAAAACCTTAACTGTGTTGTTGTTTCAGTAAAGGTTTTCTTTTTCTCTCATCTTTTGAAGATTGAGATTGGACAATTTTTCTTGGAGGAGGAATCCGGTATTTTGATTGAACCCAAGTCTCAGCAGTTACAGAGCCTACCCACCTCTCCCGGATTTAAGGTATATATAAATCTATATTCTGTGTCTTACACTTAGATTGGAAAACGGTAAGCCAGTTTGTAACAGAAAGATATCACGTAGAACACTGCAAGTGCTGGGTCGAGGAGAGGTCTCCTAAGTTGCAGAGCTTACTCCTCTGAGTAGTGACTTGACTCAGACAGCTGTTTTCCGTTGTTGGTTTCGATGGTCTTCACCAGAACCACTTTTTTTGGTCCTGAAGACGTCCGTGGTGCCGAGCTACTTTTCGTATCTAAGTTTAAGAAATTGGCTGAATAAAACAAGATGGGGAAAAAAATAGTTAAATGGTGTAAAAAAGAAATCCCATCAGTTAGCTGCCTGGAATGTAACTGAGATTATAACTCTTGTCTACTCAGCCCCTTTAAATTCATCTTTCAGATAGAAGTCCGTAGAAAATAATATTAATCTACCAATAAGGATTCATTATTTATTATCCATTACAACAACTGCTCATACAAGCGCCATACAGGATGTACTGCTATTAAGATATTTACAGATATGCAAGATACACCCATAACACATTTCTAACTTATTATGGAAACTAAAAATGGGTTTATAATGAGAATGAAGTCTGTGAGCACATAGCAGCATGTTGGCACCCATAAACCTCTAAAAATGTGTCACATTAATTTTGATAATGAACGTGGAGAGACTTGTGGAAGTATTTGTGAGCATGCTGTGGATGCCGAACAGAGCAAGTTACGGGAGGATCAGGATTGGATACAATATCGCAAACACTGCCCGGCTGAGGATGGTGTCATTGAAGATCATATGATAAATTAGAGAATTGAGCCCCAATTATTGCTGTTATTTTTTTAATGTATTTATTTAAAATGTAAACATTTTCTGTCTGCAATGCATTCGAATTAGCAAATCCATATCGGTGCGTTCATTTATTATTAAATAATATTCCTTATCAATCCACCCACACCTTCAATTAATAATAGAAAGTGGTGGGTGCTTACCTCCCTTAACCAACCAATCATAATGATCCAACTCAACCAATCTCTATGGAACTCTCACTGGATTTGCTGCCTGCCCAGCATATTGACCACAACCCAAGATAGAAGGTCATGGCACAGTTTATAAACCAGTGGCAGAGTTATTCAGTAAAGTGAGAATTCAAGAGAATATCAAATTTAAGGCCAAATTAGCCAAACTGATACAATTCTCTAAGTCAACTATGCTTTCAGTTTGGCTACTCTGGCCTGAAATGTAAATAACAATGTGTTTTTTCACATACCTACCCATTTTGTCAAAGACACTGAGCTGCGATTTTGAAGTTGAGTGGTTATTCAGCCTGGGAAATAAAAAAATGTATGACATTACAAATGATAAAAAACTGTTTCCAAATGTTTTTATTTTATTTTTAGAATTCAATGTTTATAGAGCTTAGAATATTTAAATTATACAAAATACACAAATAAAATAAAAGCAGATAAAGGAATGTACAAACAAAGCCAGATATAGCTCACAGTCTCATTCAAGAACAATCGACTATTATATCACATAACACTTTGGTGAGAATTCATTGTGATAACAGGATTGTCAGGGTTCGCCAGATCTTTTATTGAAATATATCCTAATAAGTCAGGCTTAAGGAGAAACCCAATGGAGAGCAAAAAATGGTTTGCAAGAGTATTCTGAGAACAGACAGCAGCTGAAATAGCCTGCCCTTCGGTCGGTCCCCGCTCAGAACTCAAACTGGTTTTAGCTCATCTTGTGCCATTACAGAGAGAACATATCTGAAGCATATCAGACTGGTCCCACCCATACGGGCAGTCCAGATCCGAAATGCCAGCAAGTTCTCTCTGCACGAGAGATAGAGCAACCCCAGACGATCGTTTCAGCCTTGTTAGGCATCATCAGTGAGGCATAACTGATATCTCTCTAGGCACCGTGAGCAATACACATCTGGATTACCCTTTAAACTAATGGAGAGCAAAAAATGGGTCGCAAGAGTATTCTGAGAACGGACAGCAGCTAAAATAGCCTGCCCTTCGTTCGGTCCCCGCTCAGTTCTCAAGCTGGTTTTAGCTCATCTTGTGCCATTACAGAGAGAACATATCTGAAGCATATCAGACTGGTCCCACCCATACGGGCAGTCCAGATCCAAAATGCCAGCAAGTTCTCTCTGCACGAGAGATACAGCAACGCCAGACGATCGTTTCAGCCTTGTTAGGCATCATCAGTGAGGCATAGCTGATATCTCTCTAGGCACCGTGAGCAAGGGGTCCATGTCTGGATTACTTTAAACTAATGGAGAGCAAAAAATGGAGAATCCCAGAATTCAAAAACACTGAGAGAAGAAAAAAGGAGCGTATATATTGAAAGGTCCAGGTTACCATGGAGATAGGTAAGTATTCTTTTTGGAGACATCCCGCCAGTTGCCAGAGAGCCCCATGGTAAGTGGTGGAGGTATGTGCAATGATCTCTTGAAAGTCAGCCTCAAGAAGGGCCATCTAGTGTATCCAAGTCGCCTTATACCTTTTAGAATTATCTGACAGAACTAATTCCTCAATTCACCAAATGTCGTCCACGTTTGAAATCCAGTCCCTAATAGACTGGAAAATACACCTCCAGGCTGTGTTAAAGAGGTGTGGGAGTACTGATACTTTGTATTTACCTATCAGTGTGAGTATAGATGAAGAAGGAATATGTCTGGTGTGAAGGGCAGGGGGTTGTCTGTCAGTTTCAATACCATTCTATGTGATTCAGCGGCATTTCCACCAGAGGTCGATGTGTGTTCCCAACTCTCTGCCACATCTCCAGCATTCTGAATTCGCTGAGGGAGAATAGGCAGAGATCATCTCAGGGGTCTGGTATCAGTGGGTTAGAATACTGTAAAGAGGTAAAGAGGGAGAACCTGTCCAGTTACCCCACTGCCTCTTGGAGCGGGTAGGTGACACTGCCTGTGCGCACAACCAGAGGCTGTGGAGGCCTGAGATGTGGGCGCCATATTGTCAGAGGTCCCCTCTGCAGGATAGAGGGTTTCATGTCTGAGAGCTTAGATTTCCCCATAACCGAAGGTAAGTGGTGGTAGAGTACGTCATAGCGTGACAGGCACCGGAATTCTGAAATCATGCAGTCATTCTCCTAGAGCGGAAAGCCACACCCATGTTTCCAAATTTTAGACACCCATTGTATGCTCTTTATTCTTACATTCCCAGCTAGTCAAGCTGTTAAATTCACCTAAACCAACATAGATTACAAAGGCACTAACTGAGACACACTCGCAAACACCCACCGACCATCAAACATAATGCGAACTACACAGAAAGAACACGTTCGACAACACAACACACAAGATTACCAATGACACACTCATGTAACCAGACACACCACTGTCTTGAAACAACAACGGACCCCCCCACCTCCAGTGGAAACTTAATCAATCGAAAATACACACACGTTGACACGATGTACTACTATACGTGTCCCCTGACTAAATATTTACTACATACAGTTGCAAGAAAAAGTATGTGAACCCTTTGGAATGATATGGATTTCTGCACAAATTGGTCATAAAATGTGATCTGATCATCATCTAAGTCACAACAATAGACAATCACAGTCTGCTTAAACTAATAACACACAAAGAATGAAATGTTGCCATGTTTTTATTGAACACACCATGTAAACATTCACAGTGCAGGTGGAAAAAGTATGTGAACCCTTGCATTTAATAACTGGTTGAACCTCCTTTGGCAGCAATAACTTCACCCAAACGTTTCCTGTAGTTGCAGATCAGACTTGCACAACGGTCAGGAGTAATTCTTGACCTTTCCTCTTTACAGAACTGTTCTTGGGATGTCTGGTGTGAATCGCTTTCTTGAGGTCATGCCACAGCATCTCAATCGGGTTGAAGTCAGGATTCTGACTGGGCCACTTCAGAAGGCATATTTTCTTCTGTTTAAGCCATTCTATTGTTGATTTACTTCTATGCTTTGGGTCATTGTCCTGTTGCAACACCCATCTTCTGTTGAGCTTCAGCTGGTAGACAGATGGCCTTAAGTTCTCCTGCAAAATGTCTTAATAAACTTGGGAATTCATTTTTCCTTCGATGATAGCAATCCATCCAGGCCCTGACGCAGCAAAGCAGCCCCAATGATGCCCCACCACCATACTTCACAGTTGGGATGAGGTTTTGATGTTGGTGTGCTGTGCCTTTTTTTCGCCACACATAGTGTTGTGTGTTTCTTCCAAACAACTCAACTTTGGTTTCATCTGTCCACAGAATATTTTGCCAGTACTGCTGTGGAACATCCAGGTGCTCTTGTGCAAACTGTAAACGTGCAGCAATGTTTTGTTTGGACAGCAGTAGCTTCCTCTGTGGTATCCTCCCATGAAATCCATTCTTGTTTAGTGTTTTACGTATTGTAGATTCGCTAGGGATGTTAGCATTTGCCAGTGACTTTCGTAAGTCTTTAGCTGACACTCTATGATTCTTTATGCAAGTCAACAATTCTTAATCGTAGGTCTTCTGAGAGCGCTTTTGTGCGAGGCATCATTTACATCAGGCAATGCTTCTTGTGAAAAGCAAACCCAGAACTGGTGTGTGTTTTTTATAGGGCAGGGCAGCTGTGACCAACACCTGCAATCTCATCTCATTGATTGGACTCCAATTGGCTGACATCTCACTCCAATTAGCTCTTGGAGATGTCATTAGTCTAGGGGTTCACATACTTTTTCCACCTGCACTGTGAATGTTTACATGGTGTGTTCAATAAAAACATGGCAACATTTCATTCTTTGTGTGTTATTAGTTTAAGCAGACTGTGATTGTCTATTGTTGTGACTTAGATGATGATCAGATCACATTTTATGACCAATTTGTGCAGAAATCCATATCATTCCAAAGGGTTCACATACTTTTTCTTGCAACTGTAACTATGCTTATTCTTAAATACAAATTAATGTCAGACTTCCATAACAATATTTCAAAGTGTTAGTTTCAATAAACAAAAGATTTATAAAGTAAATATAAACAAAGAATGTTTTAGGCGCTTTAAGTAATTCAATACGCTAAGTTGGTGCGCATGGTGCTTTGAGCAACAAGTGTTCTCACGCACCCACAAACAACAATAGACTAAAAAAAGTGCGTACTTTACTTTTTTAGTTTATTCACAAATTTAAATTAATATAATAATAGGCGTTGTTATTAGGAAGTTCAGGTGTGCTGAAGCCCCGAATCGCTACAGTTGGTGCCGGTGGAAGGAGGATGTAAGTGCTTTTTTTTTGTTTCTCAGCTGTGTTTTCAAAGCAATCGTCTATTATAAAAAGAAAGATCAGTACTATAGTTTCCTAATGCCCTCTCATTGGCCAGGGTAATCTGCAGTGAGAAAGCTTTAAAAAGGACCCTTTCACTTTGTATGCCTTATCCTCTCCCCAGTTCTCACCTGCTCTCCTCTCCTTCCAGTAGCTTCCGGTAGGTGGCGATCTCAATGTCCAGTGCCAGCTTGGTGTTCATCAGATCCTGGTATTCCTTCACCTTTCGTGCCATGTCTTGCTTTGCTCTCTTCAATGCATCTTCGAGCTCCTGTGCATGAGCCTTGGCATTTTGGATGGCCTGTTCCCCATGGTCCTCTGCTAGAGCAATTGCATGTTCTAGATTTGACCTCTGAGAAAACATAAATAGGACTTAGTTTACTACAATGCCATTTGGATAAAATGCACATAGACATGAACATGGGTACACCTAGCATTGCATTATAGTTAGAGATACAATCTACTGATACGTGTTTCTATACAGCGGCCAAAACACAGCAGAGAACAAGGTAAACCGGCCAATCAGAATATGGTTTGCTGAGTTGCTTTCAGCTTTCCAATATTCAACAAAGAGCCATCTCTGATGATGCTGTGTTTTCATCATGCCCAAGGAAAAGCAAATATTTGCTACTAATCTTTTATTTAGTTTATATAAAAAATGATAGGGCCTCCTAATCCCTGACATCACAGAACATCCTTATACCACTCTCTTTGGGTTTTCTAATGTTTGGTTCCTGAGGAATTTGTAATATCTAGCTCCGGTTCACTTCTCCAATACATGACTCCATAGGATCTCCAAATATTCGGCTCCCTCAGGTCACCTTATGCCTATAATGCGTAATATGCGCCTCCGTAATTGGCTCTGTAATTGGCGCATATTACAGAGCCAATAGACTTAGGCTCCAGTCAATGTGAGTGGGTGTATTTACCATCTTTACACATTTATATAATAATTCTTTCAGTTTTCTCTTTTACATATCTGTTTCACACTCTGGTTGTACCATGATATAAGGGTAAATGATTGTTTTAATTATGTATCATTTAGTGCTTCACCATTGAATATAAGTTCACTACTTATATCACTTGTTCAGTTTCCTAATACCTCACTCCATAGAATCTCCTAAAACCTGACTCCATACAATCTCCCAATAACTGATTCCATAAGACCTCCTAATACCGGACATCATAGGATCTCATACTACTTGAGTCTAGAATATCTCCTAATACCTGATGCTAATTCTTCTAATATATAACTTCATAAGATCTCCTAATATCTGACTCCATATGATCTCCTAAAACCTGACTCCATAGGATCTCCTAATACCCGACTCCATAGAATCTCCTAATATCTGACTCCATGGGATCTCCTCAAACCTGACTCCGTAGAATTTCCTAATACCTGACTCCATAGCATCTCCTAATACCTGACTCTATAGGATCTCCTAATATCTGGCTCCATAGAGTCTCCTAATACCTGGCTCCATAGGATCTCTTAATACCTGACTCTTTTGGCCCTCCTGATATAAGGCTCTTTAAGGTCTCCTTCTGCGTGTTTGGCTTATTTAGAGCATCTTAATACCTGGATCTTTAGGGCCTCATTTTCACTGTTGGCTCTTTGGATCATTCGATGTAAATCTCCAATCTCATTCTTCACAGACTTCAATTCATCATCTGTTCTCCTGGCCTGGTTTACCATGTCATCGATCTACAAATGAGAAAACATGCAACGAGTATGCATATCCTGCTAAGTACATGCCAACACAGAGTGTTCTCTAATGTAACAATAAATAACTACATTCTACTCTTTAATTTTAACAGAACTGCTCGGTTTGGAATAAACTCCCAGTAATCTCATATATTGTCTGACAATAGAGATGCTCAATTGGCCAGTTTTGGAAATATTTTCTCTAGTGCAAGATATAGTCAGGCAAGTGGAGAGGAGAGTAACCGAAGATTAATAATGAATTTATTAACACAATAGGAAATGTTACATTCTGAGTGTACCTTAATTTGTTTACTCGGATATTCTGTTAGCCATCAAGTCAATTATTAGTTCCTGAACTGTTTCCATTATCACGGTTACCTTACTGGATAAATAAAATGAAGGTAGAAAATGGTATACTGCCATGTAAAGTTTTATGGACAATGTAACCTATGAGAGAGCTGAATGAGCTAAAAACCGAGTTTGCTTAAAAGTTGTTTTTCTCTTCTAACTGCTGGTGTGAATGAAAATGCAATATATGTGCATTGTGCAATGTGTGAGAATGATGTAACCAATGTGATAAAGCAGTCAGGCTGTAACATATCGCCTCACCATATTCTAAGAATATGAATAGGAGGGTGGTCTCAGCTTCAAGTCACTTGTAAACACGTCTGTTTTAGCAATGATTGTGCAAATCTGAGAGAGCAAAACAGCATTCTGTTAGCAATATATGTTAGCTATGTAACCAGGAAATTGTATAAATTCTAAAAGAGTTCTTATTCAATGAATGGATTGACCCTGGAGGTCACGCATGCATGTCCTGCAATAAACCCCTCAAACTGACCTTGGTGGTTTCTTTTGATTGTGTGTAATTACTAACAGAATATACTGATAAGTGCTTAGGGAGCTTAGTCTAGTAATAATTAGACCAGCAGTAGGCAATCTTCAGCACTCCAGATGTTGTGGACTACACCTCCAATAATATTTTTACAGTCACATTACTGGCACGGGAGATGTAGTCCACAACATATGGAGTGCCAAAGGTTATTAATCCATGATTTTTTTTCCAGATATGGAATTCTTTGCCTTGAGACGATGATTTATCAAATTCAGCACATTCTATGACAAGCAATCTGGATACTTTATTTTGGCATAGCCTGGTATATAGGGCTATCATTTTTATTATGGTCATTAATAACAACTGGTTGATCAAGAGAGAAATCTGATTGCTTTGGGGTTTTTTTTGAGACACAAATTAAAAATGATTTTTTTATTAACTATTTTATGACACACATACCTTACTCTTGTACCAGTGTTCCACCTCCTGACGACTCTTGTCTGCCATGTTTTTATACTGAGCCTTCACCTCCTCCATGACATGCTTCATCTCCAAGTCCCGATTATTGTCCATCTCCACGGTCACCTTGGCGTTTTGCACCTGAGATTGCAGTTCTAGTACCTCCTGTAAGATGATCTAGTGGTGTTAGACCTACAGGATCGCTATAGACACCATCACATGTGTTATCCACCGATCATCTATGTACTGAGATATACACGTAAGGTACGCAGTTAAAATCTAGAAACAGGATGAATGAGTCCACCTGCTCCCACTGTCTATGCTTAAGAAAGGTCATTATCAACATCAATATTATCACCTATAAAGTGAATCAATAAACTGATACACAATATGCAAGAGTGTTGCATCATCTGTGCTATATTGCATGGACTTCTAATGGCTGTCTAGTGTGAGGATGAAATGAATCTGTATATCAAATGGCACACCTTATTATTAGTGATGTCCCGAACGGTTCGCCGAACGGTTCGCCATGAATGGCGAACATAAACATAAACTTTGACCCTGTACCTCACAGTCAGCAGACACATTCCAGCCAATCAGCAGCAGACCCTCCCTCCCAGATCCTCCCACTTCCTGGACAGCATCCATTTTACATTCATTGTGAAGCTGCATTCTTAGTGAGCTGTCCAGGAGGTTCTTTAGTGCACCATCAGATTCTGTAGTGCTGAACAATGGGTCACTGTCTTGCTCCTCTACCATTCAGTATCAGAAAAGACTAAGGACATAGAAATATCATGTCAAATCCCTCCTGGTTTGTGATGGAAACCTATAGAGTAATCAGATAATGGACTCCCCACCTAATGGTAATTAACAAAGACAGGAGGGCTGCTGGAAGGATACGTGCCCTGAGCATGTTCTGAGTATGTTCTTTTGTCCATGTGCGATAGCTCTGTGGTCACTGCACTAACTGAGATTCGGTTTCAGGAAATTTTGTTCCAGCTGGGTCCAATCAGCCTTTCTTGATCACCTAAGTTCTATTAAATGAGTATCATTGAGCTAGGTAATAATGACATAAAACATTGAGGACATCATTGAAACCCAAACACAACACACTGTGTCCTTGCTGTACCCTGATATAATTTTATTATACCTCGTCATAGAGCTGTTTCACATAGTTGATCTCATCTGTCAGGTTTTCCACTTTGGACTCATTATCCACTTTGTGAAGATAAGTATCATCCAAGTCCTGTGGAAACAAAACAATTCATGTAACTGGTGAAGGACTCACTGGATGGGATCCAACATCATAGAGCAAAGTTTCCTCCTTCATACAGGAATTAAATTATTTTCCTTACTGCACCGGCCAATCAGATTCCAACTCCATTTTCATTCTCCAAGTTAACACATTGATTTATAATATGGGAAATGTTACCATTATTGTTCTTGTGTCATATAACTTACCTTTTTTGTCAACACAAAATCATTTTCAAGTTGATTTCGCCTGTTAATTTCATCCTCATATCTGCAAGAAATAGAACATTTGGTTTGGTATTACAAGGACTAGAAATGGAATGACAAAACACGTGCAAGAGTTGGGACTGCTCAGATCCTTAAAAGCTCCTTCACATTGACCATCTATAGGGAACCATAACACCCATACTACACCTTACACAGCTAAACCAAGCAAAACAGGCAAATGTTTCAGGTCTCGGGGAAGGGGGAAGTGGTATAATTCCAATGTATATAAGCTATTTTTCATGGTAAATAGACATATTCTTGTGGTGTCAATGTGAATGGGAAGATTCTCGTGGAAGAAGGACACATTCTCCTAGTGAACTGGAAGGTTCATAGAATGAATGGACAGATTATCAGAAATGAGAAGATTCTCAATTTCACATGGTTAATGAACTGAATCTCAAAGCAACGTGGAAAATGTGGGATATGGGAATATCCTCAGAGAATAAATATGTTTCTCATTGAAGGGTTTCATGGGTTATGGAACAATGTAACATCTCTGATAGCTAGGTTTGTAGTTGCCACCAAGTTTCAAGGCACCTTACAGATAGAGGCTAATGAGCAATAAGCATGCACTGGTTTCTATTACACCACTTTTGTAAACAGACTTTATGCAAAAACATTTTTGGAGAGATGTCCTTCCTTAATTCTTGGAAAAAGTTTAGTAGATAGAAAGCACTCCCTATAACTCCCATAATGAGCAATAGACAGAATGTTCCACTAACCTGCTCTTGAGATCCTCCACCACTGCTTGCATGTTATGGAACTCCACCTGCAGCTTGTCCTTCTCACGCAGGAGTAAATCAATCTGCTGCTTTAGGTGGTTACTCGAAGTCAAGGTGATCTGGTCAACCTTAGACTTGTAACTGTCCTTGTCCTTCAGCAGGTGCAGCTGGGTATCAAGAACTTTATTCTGCCGTTCAAGGTCCCGTACCTGTAAACAATCCACCAAAAAATAACTAGACATTAATTGGTTCAAGCTAATGGAGCCATGATGAGCTCTGTTGGTTTGCTGCTTAGTTACAATATTTATCTTAGGTCTGAAACGTTGAGTTCTGAGACGAGATAATCCCATAAATATAAATTTTTATACATACAATGGGGAAGTTTTAGTAGAGTATCATGTTCTGAAAAATGAGTGCTAAACGTGGGGCAATCACCATGGAAACCAGCAGAACCAGTCAGCACATTCCATTGCTGACTCCTCCCCTTTACATATTTGCATAATTTCTTTAAAAAAGAATACTTTGATAAATCTCCCTAATTGTATCAGTGCAACAGTGATTTCTGGGCAGCCCTATAGCTTGTGTTTTACATATGCCCATCTAGTCACCACTGATGATGCTGGCTATTATGGCACAGCAAGTTGGTCCAGAAACAACCAAACTGCTAATATTGTGCCAATATATCTCCAATATGGCTAGTTTTCCAGCTGGCTATATTGGTCAAAATAGACCATTATTATTATATATTCTTCATGTATGATGTGCTAGGTGCTTTGCGATGTGTTGTGGTATGTTCTATATGTTGTAGTGTTATGTGTTGTATGTTTTATATAGTGTTGTGTTATGTGTTGTATGTTTTATATAGTGTTGTGTTATGTGCTATGTGTTGTAGATGTCAGACTGATGTATTCTCTGTACAATTCATCAATTCATGGAAGGAGCAGCCAGAATCCGCAGGGCAACACGATTTCCAACACTGATATATATATGACAAATGAAGCATTGCAAATAACCTCCTTGTTGGATTGTGGAAGAAATTGCAATTAACATATTTGCCCACTAGGTGTCATGAGAAGACATGAACCTCTAGCAGTTCCCATACATTATGAACCAGTTACATGTGAATTAATAGCAATCCTGGACTAAATTGCCAAAAATTTGGAGACTGGAGAAATCACCATGGAAACCAAAAGTGTATTTTTGTTGATTGTTCCAATTTTAGAACTTTGTCCTAGAGCCGCTCTAGGTTCATTGTGTGTTCCCATCAATAAGCGTCCCGGTAGTATTTAAATGGTTAATAATGTCAGCGGACAATTTGAGGAGTAATCCTGTCTTCTATTTATTTTCAGGGTTGTGTCCAAACCAATGTGATGGGTGGAGTAACGCACCGGCCCTGTCTCTTGGCTGGGTACTGCACACAGTCTGCCTGGGAGCGAGGCCTCCGGGATTACACAATGTCTGTTTGCCTGGAGCATTGTTCCCAGGGGATTAATAATGAAATAAGAAGCTGTTTAATATTTGCGAGTTTTTCTACCCACCATTATCCAGTAACCTGGCAGAGCTCACCCCCGCCCCATGCCCAGGAATTGGCAGGCGAGTTCGATAGAGTCTGGGTACATATTAACAAGGCGAGGCCAATTAACACAATTCTTCATGTGGGAAAATCAAGAAACAGTATTTGAGATTTAATTAAAACTAACTACAATAAATAAACAACCAATGTTTACTTTGTTAAACCCTTTATTTATATTTCAGAGTAACGTAGATCTTAATCCCACTGAACTGGAAGAAGAGACTTGATGTCCATGCGCACCCCAGTTTTAACCTCTCATATGGGCTGCTGATATACAAGAAGCTGCTTAGAGCCTTGGTGATATATTAGGAACCCATCAAAAAGTTTGTCACAATGTAAAAAATGTTTGTGATAAAACGTGGTTTCTAAACGTGATTCTTAATTTGTGAAGAACTAAATCCATCGATTGGGTCCAGGATGCCCAGAATCTATCCGATTGACCCAGATATGTTGGGTGAGCTCTGTGCTTACCTGGGGGGCATGCATTGAAATTCGGGACAAATCTTTGGCCTCTGCACAATATTTATATTATCTCAATGCAAATGCTATGAGAATTTGGTTGGATGGAATCAGACAGTTTTAGCAATTACGTTTTATTTTTCTCTCTCTCCTAAAAGCAGCATAAGATACATAAATACTTTATTATTCACTAAAGTGTGAATTTACCTGTATGTCTAGAGCTGGCTCTTTATATTACAAAACTGAGCCATAGATAGAGCCAATTTAATTCAGCATTGTACATCGAGCACTTTACTGTCCCGGAGTGGTCAACATTCATTGGGGCCTTATTAAACCACACACTGACTCTATTTGTTTAACCCCTTAAGGACCAAACTTCTGGAATAAAAGGGAATCATGACATGTCACACATGTCATGTGTCCTTAAGGGGTTAAAGACAACCCAGAGCTCTATTAACCCTTCGTGCCTGAGGGTAATCAATTCACTGCAGAACAAGTGGTGGGGTCACATTCTCCTACTCTTGGTGATATGCACTAAGATATGACTGAGCCAGCTTTGAGGCACACAGCAGCCTTGATACACGTATCACATATCTCCCTGTCCTCTGTCTGTTACCATACGAAGACCATTTAAAGTGGTGATGTGTAGCTCATTTGGTTAATACACCAACTGTAGATCTTGTTTGAAACGTAAGGTTGAGAAAATCATTATCAGTAGGCCCAGCTCAGCTCACCCCTCCAGGTAAGAGTAACAACCTGGATTAAATCTGAGGGAGTGCACTAAACCCCTTTGTGTATCCTATGAGAGAAAAAGGCTAAACGTTAATAGAGTGTATTAAAGGAGCCAGTTACATATTCTTACATAGAAATTGTTCCAGTAGTCAACACATTGCTGACACCCAGTGGTCAAAGGTTGAATTGCATTTAAAAAGATTTTGGACCAAGGCAGGTCAAAATGATCTTTTTCAGCCTTTCATTCCTGAAATGTCAATGCAATATTTACCAGTAAGCTGGGAAATACTATAATTTATGAATTAACACCCAGTTTGTTTAATGCCATGTATTATGAATATTTTAATGGTGTCTTTAAATCCGTGTTTCCAGTAATTTTTGGCAGAACACGACTTGTTACGTGTGTTCTCCAGGCAGCTCTACGAATTACTATGAACGTTTGCCTGGAATGTTATTTTAATTGAATTATCTGTGACGGTTTCTCTATTGGGATAGAATAGTTCCCAACACTGAAAGGTATGAAGTTAGGATTTAAGATGGTAGTAGAGGCAGAATGTGGGGTACACCAAACAAGAATATTACTGGCGATGCGCAGAGGCAGGGAATGTGTGTGTAAGCTCTAGTTTACTCACCAATCCAGGCTAAAGGGCCGCCCATGCGCAGAGCTTGTGGCATTGCTGGGGGGTTGGGGGGTTAAGTGTAGGTCTAGTGCTCCAAGTTTGGAGGTATTACTGTGGGTACCAGATTAATATAGCATGGTTATAAAGTTTATCCTTGGGCTCAAAGCCCTCGTCTCTTTGCCATCTATTGCCACATCTCTGCGCAGAGCCCAGTACCTGCAAACAGCTTTGATTTGCAGCAAGCACTGCTCACAGAATAATGACAGAGGGACTGGGCCCTAAAGCAGGACTTTTCCATTGGATCCGATACCATTGGGAAAAATGGGATTGTGATTCCTGAAAATAAGAAACATTAGCTTGTATTGTTGACCTACCTCTTACAGTGGGTGTTTTTAATTGTGCTCTATTAAAGGGTTAATCCAAGAGCCTTTCTATATATTTGGTGTTATTGATATAATACTTAAACTGACAGTTATCTGCAAAGCTCACATCTGGCTCAGATAAGATTGATACATAAACATGCAGGGTTATTAAATAAATCAGCTTTCAAGAATTCAAAGTGACTGCAAAGTGAATTTCAAATTTAAGGCCAATATAGCCAAAATAGAGAAATTCTCTAAGACAAATATGATTAGTTTGATCATTTTAGCCAGAAATTTGACATTCCCTTTGAATTTAAGACTATTATCAATTTATTGAATAACCCTGCTAGATTGAATCATCCATTAAACATCCCCTCTCTTATAGTACAGATATATATACAAAAAAATTCAAATAAAATAACAAAAACTATATATATAATTATTATTATCATTTTTAACTCCTCTAATATATTCATTTCTAACACCTCTGAAAGTGGCTATTTCATGAATTGTCAACATTCCTGTCCATCCAACTTCAGGTTATGCCTTGTTTTTCTGGCTAATATATTTATACAGGAAATCTCAACCTCTTTTATTGTGTAAAAAAAGTGAATTGACGTTTAAGGTCAAAGTAGCCAAATTGAAAGCATAAAAGCAATATTGACAGCTGACTTGGAGAATGGTTCCAGTTCCGCTATTTGAAACTTAAATCTGAAATTCTCCTTGAATTCTCACATTAGTAACTAACCCTGTAAGATTTACTTTTCTAAAGCAGACTATCATTATTAAAATGATTAACCCTTTCAGTATATCAGACGTCACTCGTATGCTTGTTACACGCATTCCTCACATGCTGTGATCATCCAAAATGCACAAAGGATGTTGACATTTTTGCAGAAATGTATTTTACTAATATACACATGTATAACGTAAAGATTGTGTCAGTCAGAGACTTACATTTACTGTAAAAAAAACAACACAAATATAAAAATACAAATAGGATGGTTTATGTGCATGCAATCAAATATAGCTGATTGGATATTTAAATACAATTGAAGACTAAAAGTGGTAAACAATGCAAGTGCCAAAAACATTCAAACACCGTTTTCCACGTTTAAGTGTCAAATGAGCAATGCTTTATAATGTGGTAAACGTGAAAAGTGCCTGATAGTCCTCTAAGTAGTTCAAAAGAGCATGTAAAGAGATCACTAGTTCTAAGTGCCAGATAGGTGGAAAAATTTTTTTTTGTGATTTCCCAACATTTTCGATTTTGGCACTTACTACGTTTACCACTTTTAGTCCTAAATTATTTTTTGTTAACGTATCTGCAAGAAAGCAAGGTCATAATTATAATAGTATAGTTTCAAATAAAACAAATTAGTATGAAATAGGACTGGGTTCACACCGCACATTGATGCTTCTTAATGTTAAAGGTTTATTCACTAAACGTTCGTGGTGCTCCTATAACTGAGTCGCAAAATTTATCCCCAAACCAGACAAGCCGCAAAGGAAGAATTCTGTAATTCTTCCCCAAAGTTTTAGTATTGGGGATTTTTAATTTTCTTCCACCCCACCCAGAATTCAAATAAGTATGTTACTATTACAATGGAAGAATTTCAGCACCAACATATTCCAAAGCGCAGAACAATTGATAGAGAGAATTTTAAACAAAAACAGGGTTATTCACAAAAATATGAATTGTCAGGAAGTCAATTTCAAATTTTACTAAAAAGTTTGCCAAACTGAAAAGAAAACAGCTGATGAGGAGAATTTCTCCAGGTTTAATACATTTGGCCTCCAATCTTATATTCACTTTGAATTTCCAACAATTCCCACTTTACTACATAACCCCGTAAGAGACTAATACTCATAGGATTGTCTCACCTAGAATACTCACCTTATCAATGAAATTGACGAACTGATTGTTCAGACCCTTAATCTGCTCCTTCTCGTTCAACCTGAGCTCATGCAGCTTGGGATCGATCTCCAAGTTGGGCAGTGATGAGAGCAGGAAGGTGCTGGACCCTGGAATGGCACGGGATAAATTCAGACCACTGATGTACCTCTGAAGTCCAGGCTGGAAGCCGCTGGTGCTGGCCCGATACATTGAGGGTCTACTAGACAGCGAGCCTTGAGATCGGCTACTGAAGCCACGTGTACTCCCATAACGGTTGTTGTAGAGACTCATGGTGTCCTGCAGCTGTCACAGAGAAGACTAACTTGGGATGAGTTGAACTGGACGGAGGGCTTCTAAGTGAAGGCAAGAGAGAGCAAGCAGACGGTGTGGCAAACAAGGCTGCCACATTCATATGACACCTGTACATTTCTTCCTGTCCCATTTGTTGACACATCATTTGAATAAACCTTCCTCCTGCCAAGGACCGACCCACCTTCCCAACCTCTGGTGACTCTACTCTACCAACAGAAAGACATTTTAACCCATTGACTCCATTTCTGGATAAACCAAACTAGCTGGACGGGTTTCTATTAATATTCCTTCTTAAGAAAAATGCAAGTTCTTTGGAGCAGATCCTAAATATCTCATGTATAGTTTTGTTTTTTTAAAGGGGAATATTTTTGTACAATTGGTTTTGACAATGCCGTAGCTTATATTAAAAATGCTGCTTTTTAAAATGAATGATTATAGCTTTTAAATGTAAAAGAATAATGAATACTTAGGGGTTTATTCACTAAACTCTGAATTGTAGTGCACTGTAGCAAATCTGAAAGGCACATTTTAAGCAAAAATTGCTGATCTGGAAGGATTGTCCGCGTGAGCTTTAGTTAGTTTTGCCAATTTGGGTTTAATTTACTATATTTTGGACTTTAGTTGATAAACATATTCATTTGTAGTATCAGAATCTGTCTGTTTCATTCTCTCTCCAGCCTGATGTCATTAACGGTCAGTGTCTTCCTCTAAGCACTGTATATCAGGCTGCAATCCAAACAATTCTATTTTATCACCTTGTGTTAAGCTCTGTACATAGCGCTCTGTCTCTAATCTTCTGATGGGGATTTACAGATTTTCTTAATATGTTCCCGTGAGAACAGTAATATGTGATCTGGGATTTGAGGTGTTACTGTCAGTAGAATGCAGCTCACCTGTCCATGTGGGTGTGGTTAGAGTGCCCGCCCCTTACCTGTCCATGTAAAGGTGCATAGGATGACAGCAGCTGCACACTGCCACTGACAGCTCACCAGGCAGCACAGATCGAGAGCACCCAGAACCCACCCAGAGGACCTTAACAGACCAAAATCTCATCCAGAGACCCTTACCTGTATTCAGCCATCACCAAGAGACACTCACCTGTACTCATCCATAGACCCTCACCTGTACTTAGCACTTCCAGAGGCCCTCACCTGCACTCAGCACTTACCCAGAGACCCTCACCTGTACTCAGCACTTCCAGAGGCCCTCACCTGCACTCAGCACTCACCCAGAGACCCTCACCTGTACTCAGCACTTCCAGAGGCCCTCACCTGCACTCAGCACTCACCCAGAGACCCTCACCTGTACTCAGCACTTCCAGAGGCCCTCACCTGCACTCAGCACCCATCCTGAGACACTAACCTGCACTCAACACTCACATTTACCTCAGGTAAACCCAGCACTGATACAGCACTGAAACACCTCACATGCACTTTATACAATTTCTTAACCAGACTGGCACTTCCGTTGCTCACCTCACTTAATCCCAGCTCACCTTTGAACCCCTTATACTCAATACATAGACAGGTCAGAAGATCTGAACTTCATACATATACCTGGGTCACCTGGTGCACCTCTCCCTGCTCATCTGACAATTTTCTAAGTCTCCTGTGGTCCCCACACTGCACAAATGTCTTATCACTCTTCCTCTAACTCTCCCTCCTGGAGGGGTAGTGCTTCCAGCCAAACAGGGACCCCTGAGTACAGGATGTCCACCTCCCGCCTACAGTCGCTGCGCTCTGGAATGGACCTTTCCACGCTCCGCGTGGGCCTGGACAGTGCGCTCCCCGCGGTGCGCTCGGGGTTTGATTCCCTGCTGCAGAATAACCACCAAGAGGCTATGCAGGGGCTGAATGAGAGACTGGCGGGGTATCTGCAAAAGGTCCGGGGGCTAGAGGAGGCCAACATGAAGCTCCAGGAGGAGATAGATGACATCAAGTCCAAGAAGATCCCTGGATCCAGAGACTGGGACTCCTATCAATCTCCCTTGCAGGACATGCGCAAGCAGGTGGGATCCACAGCAGGTACCTGGAGGGTGCGGGGCACACTAATTCTGTTTCAGTCTGTCACTCCTGCTGCTGGGGACTGCAACTCTCACCATGCACAACCTTGATGGGAATTACAGTTCACAGTAATTGTTGTGAGTGAGGAGCCTGACTCATCCCTGGGACCAATATTTACTACAAACAGTTACACTGCTGTGTGAGAGACAGAAAGACAGACAGAGATAGACGTGGGCGCACACACACACACAAAGAGAAAGAGACACACACACATAAACTGAGAGAAAGACAAAGAGAGAGAGAGAAATAGACACAGAGAAAGAGAGACACACACAGAGAAAGAGAGACAAAGAGAGATACACACACACTGAGAGACAGTGAAAGAGACAGAAACTTATACAGACAAAGTGAGACAGAGAGAAACACACAGAGAATGAGAAACAGTGAGAGAGACACACACACATACATTGTGAGACAGAGAAAAAGGGACACATACAGAGAGACAGAAAAAGTGAGACAGAGAGAGATACACGCACACACACACACACACACACACACACACACAGACAGAGACGGAGAGAAAGAGAAAGTTTGACAGCAAAGATAATCATGTTAATCATTCACACATCATGTCCCTCTTTATGAGATGGTTATATCAGGGGCCTAACTGTGCATCATGCTGGACAATGACTCAAAATACTATCTGTGCTAGGTGTGTATCTCATGGGGAGCTTGTCATGATGTCAGAGTACAAATCCAGAACCTTATGGTAAAATAATAATGGTGATAATAATAATAATAATAAGATAATGGTGATAACAGGGGTACTCGCTGAATGAAAGGCTGAGAACATGGCTCAAATTAAAATCTGTTCTCTGGTTTAATTTGGAAAATTAAACAGCTATATAGTGGGATTTCAATTACACCACCTCCAAACTGAGTTGGTCACAAGTGGAGCCCATAGAACATCCTGGATCCTTGGCCAACGTTTCTTCCTTTGAGTAGGATCACTTTCAAATCTTTTTAATTCTTTAGACTCGTCAGACCAACAATTCCTGAAATTGGGCTATGTGCGGACGTTTTGTATTAACCGATCAGGGTTCTGTGGGGTCCCTCCACAAGTTGGCCCTGAAAGTATTTCTGATAAGAAGATGTGAATATTTTTGGCCCATTTTATCGTCTCCAGTTGGTCTTCTTGGTATTGACTCTGTAACTCACCTGTCTCAGGGTCTTGGTGTACCCATCTGGTTCTGTCACTGGATCTTTGTCAGCCATATCTTTCAATGCCAGAGTAATTCGTTTTAAAGAAAGAAATGCTGGCTCCATCTGACCCTTTACCTCTTTGCATTCCTTTAGACCATTCACTTGTTGATAACATTTGGTGGTGTCCCCCCTAGTTATTCTCACTGAATCCTGGTTTGCTTTCCGTGTTCAGGGTGTCTATGTCAAAGTTTCTGATCACATGTGTGTCCCTATGTTCCTTACCAGAATTCTGATATCACTGTATCTCCCTTGTTGATCTGAATTTTACAGTGAGTCCCCTCGTTTCTGTCTTTAATTTTATCTGTGAATCTTGGCATGTCTCCTTCCTGTCTCTGAATCATGGCATATCCCTTCTTCCTGTCTCTGAATCTTGGCATGTCCCTTCTTCCTGTCTCTGAATCTTGGCATGTCCCCTCTTCCTGTCTCTGAATCTTGGCATGTCCCCTCTTCCTGTCTCTGAATCTTGGCATGTCCCCTCTTCCTGTCTCTGAATCTTGGCATATCTCCTCTTTCTGTTTTTCAATCTTGGCATTCCCCCTTCTTCCTGTCTCTGAATCTTGGCATATCCCCTTCTACTTGTCTCTGAATCTTGGCATGTCTTATTCTTCTTGTCTGTGAATCTTAGCATGCCCCTTCTTCCTGTCTCTGAATCTTGGCATGTCTTATTCTTCCTGTCTCTGAATCTTGGCATGTCCCCCTTCTACTTGTCTATAAATCTTGGCGTGTCTTATTCTTCCTGTCTCTGAATCTTGGCATGTCCCCTTCTACTTGTCTCTGAATCTTGGCATATCCCCTTCTGCTTGTCTCTAAATCTTGGCATGTCTCATTCTTATTGTCTCTGAATCTTGGCATGTACCTTCTTCCTCTTTTTGAATCTTGATGTGGCTCCTTCTACTTGTATCTTAATCAGAGAAGGATTAAGATTAAGGATTAAGGGCCCTAGGTTGGTGACTGGTTTGGGCCCCTCTTTATTCCTTACACATAGATGGTGAATGGGGCCAGTCAAATTAATGGTTCCAGGGAGCCTGTCTAACTCATGGGCCCTGGGCGACCGCCTACCTTATGGTTAATGCTGCTTTGATCTGAAACTTTAAATGTCTCTCCTGTTCCTGTCTCTGAGACTTTAAATGTCTCTCTTGTTCCTGTCTCGGAATGTCAGTGTTTTTAGGAATTTTCAATGTTCTCCATTGACCTGCCTGTGGATCTCACTCACAGACAGTAGCAAACAGAGCTGTAGTGCCTGGACACAATCTAAAAGATTTGTGTCCAAGATTCAATCCCTCTACATTGAATTACCCAAAAAAAAAAAGGCAAGTGTCAGGACCTGGGAGTCAAATCTCTGTCCTCGTAGAGCTGTGACATTATTTACATTTTATTTGCCTGTTACTAGAAATATTCTGTGACACTTCCTGTGACTCAATAACAAGAAATAGTGTAAATATAATATAATCGGTCGCGCTGTAAGTAGTCTGTCACATTGTATATATTTTGTCACATTCCATAGTTTGTCACACTCCATATAGACCGTCACACTATAAACAGTCTGTCACATTGTAGTTAATTTGTCACACTCCATATAGACTGTCACACTGTATAGATAGTCTAAACTGACCGCGTCCATCTTGGCTTCCTGTCAATCACTGCTATTACTCTGTCCTTTGCCCCTGTCAATCAACATATAGAGGACCCCGGATGAGAAACGGATACATTGTTTCAGTTACTTCTTTCCTAATGCAATGTGTGCCAAGCAGTGCCAGGACTGAACTGGATTGTGACATCAATTACTAAATCTTTAGTATACATTTAAAACAAAATGTTAACACAAGTTATGTGTCATTTTCAAAGTTTTATTTAATTGTATAACTTCCAGGGACGCTTCTGTTCCCCTTTAACTTTTTGGATGCCTAAGGTTAAAGTCACAAAGGTTAATTTACTTCTGCTGACAGCCAGTTAACCTGGTGACTTGTCCATCTTGTTAGGTGAGAGTATCTCTCACAGGTCCATGTGATGCATGCTGGAATACGTGATGAGAAGCATGCAGTGAGGGATAAGGTGTATCAGAGGGGCTTACTTGCTAAACTGGAAATTATGGAGAATTGCTAAGGGATGCACAATGTTTCGACCAAAATAGCTGAATTTAAAATATTCTTTTTCTCAGATAATTTTTCCAAGTCTGTTACGTTGGTCTGAAATGTTTAATTCCCCATTTAAAGCTTTAATTATTTAAATGCTGCTCGCTGGACTCACATACACGTAAGTTGTTTCATTCATTAATTTACAGGTTATATTTTCATTTTTTTTTCTCTTTAAAAGATTGAAGATTTAAACATGGACAACGCCAAACTCCTCCTACAAATTGATAACGCGCGTTTGGCAGCAGACGACTTTAAAGTCAAGTAGGTTTCCAGTTTATAACCACATTTATTTTCTATTAAACACTAGACATGCATGTACGTCCTGGCATATTGTTTCTGCACTAGAGATTAGTTTGTTTGTTGTTTTATGCTGGTGTTGTTTTACATTATAAAGAGTATATTATATTTATTATTTTAAAGGTTAATTATTTCCACGTTCTAATTTGGATAACGTCAAAGAGAATTATGGGAAATGTAGAAACAGAACACCTGGAATGAAGCATTATCATTTAGACAGAGAATGGTCATTCCTGAAATATGAAATGTTTTATATTAAGTGAATGTGGGGTAACATTAGTGCGACTTTATTATCCTGTTGGTACCTTTAGCTATTTTTCTTGCTTCACTCTGTATGTTTGTTCAGTTCGAAGCAAACAGTTGGCTGTGTTTACTAGAACAGGTGGAATTGTTTTACAATTTATGGTTTTCAGACACTGTAGTCACATGCTCTGTTTTTTATTTTGTTTACATCAAAGATATCTGGGATACCATTCGCCCTCCGTACCGTATTCACTAAGAGAGATGGCAGAGGCTCGGGGGGAATGGGAAGATTTTCAGAATTTTTTATTTCATTATGTGAATATAGTATGAGTTGCAGACATTAAAAATATAAATGTTTTCACTTGTTGATCTGGGAAAGTAGAACAATGTGCTTTTAAATGCGTTAAGTCCACTCCTTCTCTGAGTTCTTATTATTCAGCCATACCTCCCCCATATTGTTTGAATTCAGCAGTTAGCACAGAGAAGTCGAGGTACCCAATGAACCAATGGTAGAGCGTGAAGAAGAATCTCAAGGTGGAGATAGTAGCTATTTAGTATAAGCAGACTGAACTCAATGTACACTTTACACTTAGTTTGTTCACTATTACTTAACAAAAAGCTTTTTTCAAAGAATCATCCTTGCTGGATGCATTAAAGCGTGCTAAATGCATTAAAATAATTTCATGGCGAATTAAAGGACTGTCAGCAGACAGGTACGGAGCGCCCCAAGAACATTGTTTATTGCCAAGTTAATATGAGCACTGTGTCTTCTTATTAGCTGGCAAGGAGCCTGGATCCTCTGTCGGCAATGGTGGCCAGAATATTGTTTGTTTTACATGTGCCTGCAGGCTGGAGACAGAACAAGCAATCTGTGATGGCGTGCACAAGGACACGCAAGGGCTGCGCAAGTTAATCGATGACACCAACTTCCTACGGATGAAACTGGAGTCTGAGGTGGAGAACCTCAGAGAAGAATTAGCCCACCTTCACAAGAGCCACAAAGAGGTAAGGAGGGCCATTTGAGGACATTCTGTGATTCAGAGAGTCTGACTCTTTCTGTCTCGCATGGTTAATCACTCTGCTCTGAATTGTAGCAAATTAAAAAGTGAATTTCAAAATTCAGGATACAATGGCTAAGCTGTGATGATGACGGAGTAGGAGAATTTCTATAAAATTCAGCAAAATTAGCCTGAATTTTTCTATTCACATTTCAATTCAGAATTTGATGAATAACTCTGTGAGTCTTTGTATTCAAAAATTGTCTACTCTGTGAGTCTGTTAATGCTCGTTTATCCCCCCACCTAATCCTCTTTTTATGTTTTATCAATTCAAATAGAAATCACCAACAATAAAAGTTAGGGAAGAACATATGAACATTACGTCTATTATAAAGTACGATATGTTTTTATAGAAGATGGGTGACAAGGTTTCATGATAGAGTTCTTTAATCCCAGGCTGCAATGTCAAGTCTCAAGTGTTTCATTTATGTTGTTGTTGATTTTTCATGGTTTCATTAATTTTTTATTTGATTTTTAATTTTCAAAAAAAAATATTTTTTTGACATGTGTGTGTGTGAAGCAGAGTTCGGAAGGGGGTTCTTAACCTTCTTTTGTCAGAGACCCAGATACTATTCATTAATGTGGTGACCCTTTGTTCATCTAGACTAGAACATTTTCAGGAACCCATTCTTCTTCTTCTCTTCCCCTTACGTTGTCACGTGCTACAACTCTTTGGTGAAAAACAAATGTAAATGAAATATAAATATTCCTTTATGGGCAAACTAAGATTGTCCAGGATTTTCACTATTATGTTCACTTATCCCTATATTTAATGAATATGTGTTAGGAAGGTTAAAAAAGAAATAAAATTTAGAAGTTCACCCTCTTTATCCTGCAACTGTGTCCCTCCATCTTGGCTCAAAGTCAATCATTATTATAAGCTCTGCCTTTGCACATGGCAGTCAGCATAAAGAGAGCGTACGGAGAGTATGATAAATAAAAATGTGGGATAAAATACTAAACGTGGGACAATCACCATGGAAACCAGCAGGGACATGTCCTTGGTGAATATTCTCTCTTACATTTTGGGCATTAATATTAGAACTGAATACATTGGTATATCTCCCCCATTACCCCAATATGTTCTCATCCTCATTTGCAATGGGTGTCCTGGCTGTCCCTGAACTGGGTAGGAAATGTTCAACATTTTATTTACTGGTGCATTTTCCAGAGACGTACAAATCCAAATTTTGATATAAACAGTAGAAACTTGTTAAAGATAAATAGTCCTGAGGACAATCCTTAGAACCATGCTTAACCCAACATTTCTCATTGTCTGAGAAACTGAGTCCTGCTTTAGTTGACTCAATAACACTTTAAAGAGTTTCTCCAACCACCATGACCACTTCTGCTTTTAGAATGTGCAGCGTTTCAGCTGTCTCACCACATACCAATTATTGAAGTCTTGCCCGATACAAATTAATTTCCTCACCCAGTTCAACAGGACACAGAACAATTGGGATCAATTTATTCAGATTCCTGATCAATTCAAAACATCTGATTTTGGACTTCATTACAGAATCTTCAAAAAGGTTTTCCCCTGGAAGAGCCAAGATGCCAAGTCATTACTACAGATGTAAGACTCCAGGGTTGTGGGGCCCATCTGGGATCAACTTAGACAGAAGACATTAGGCCCCCACGTGAAAAGAAATGTCTCCGGAACCTCAGAGAACTAAGAGCCATAATCAAAGCTCTGAGGGATCTCCTTCCATGTCTAGAAGAAAGATGGGTCCTAGTTCTTAAATAGTCTTTACTAACTTTTAAATTCAATTCACTTTTTTTTTTTCTGTTGAGGTCCCACGTCGAGGGCAGATGCATTTCTCCACCATTTTCTCGCTATTTGACTGGTTTCTTAACATGTTGCAAAATTCAGACTAAAATAGCCAAGTTGGTTATAGAGACTGTTTTCAAATCAGCTATCCTAACCTGAATAACCTGAAATGTGCTGTTTGTTTTCTCAATTCACTATTATTTAGTGGAATAATTGTATCTATTGTGATTATGACCCTAGATGTCTTATCTGCTGCATACTTTCACTTTGCCGGTACATACATTGTTTCTCCACAAGTATTGTATGAAATATATTCAGAAAGCTGTGTTTGTGAGTTTACCGTTCACTGAACATGTTTATTTAGAAGGTGTGTTTCTCTTGAGACATAAAACTTTCGTCCATCCTGGATTCTGGGAAACACCCAACGTAATGTTTGCATTTTGGTTCAGGTGATAATTCCAATGTGTCGCAGCATTAGTGTTGGAGGGTCAATGTAAAACACACTGATAAAACATGTGCTATGTAATATTAAAGTAGTATTACAACTGGGGATTGTGGAGAATCAGCATGAGAATTGCAGTATTTATGCTAAAATAGCAAAACAATTAGACCACCAGGCATCTATTTTGATCTCGCCCATTTTGCCTCATATTTGCCTTTCCAATGTCAATTCTCTGCAATTCCCAGTTTAGTGAATTAAAACAAACATGAATGAATGATACAATAATCAATATTTCGGGATGTTTTTGCAGGAAGTGGCTGCACTCCAGGAGCTGATTGCAAATAACAACGTTAAGGTAGAGGTTGACGCTCCCAAGAAATCCGACTTGAACGAGAGCATTAAGCAAATTCGCAGCGAGTACGAAAAAATGGCAGAGCAGAACCGCGCCGACGCCGAGAATGCCTATAAAAGCAAGGCAAGGGGCTTCAATTCAATGTTTACACAATACTGTCCAATTATTATTGATCCCTGTGTCATTTTAGAGCCAGTTATAGCAATTAAACCTTTAGCAGACAGTGTATTATTTCCCTGCTTGTTCATAGGTGTAACAATCACAATTATTAAGCCAGCTAAGGCCATCTATGTTCAAACAGAGATAATCTTCACATCTGGCTGTGTTGTTCCCTGGGATGGAAACAGTTAAAGAAGCACTTTATATGAACAATGAGTGGTGTGGTGTTTAGAATGAGCCATTACTAATCAGTAACTGTATCAGTATCGGACTAATCCCCTAAGGGTAACATCACCCCATAAACATAGGATTGTGGTCGCTCAGCTCAAATTCAAATAGAGTCAGGGTCAGGCTGGCAACCTAGTGATATTAGACTAAAAGTCCCATCATCCCTTGATTAAGGTATTGTGTAGAAAAGAGCGCAGTGAACAATTCGAGAAAGCTGGTTTGAGCAGGATCCTCATTAACTATTGTTCCTGTAACTATTTATTGTTACATTTCCACCTCTTATAATATTGTACAGCGCTGGGGGATATGTTGGTGCTATATAAATACCAATTATAATAATTTAGATTATTTTTTTAACTTGACGGGTAAATCGTTCGGTGGCTGCTACATGCATTTTGCATTTTCCGACATAAAGTGGCTGACCTTAGTTTATAATTTTATGGGCAGATTCTGTGCATTGGCGTCAGCTTGTCTTCTTTCCGGGTTCTGATTGGTTAATACACATCCAGCTGAGACCAAGCCTGTGATTTCAGATGGCTCAGTTCTGTGTGTTTATTTTTTTCACCCACATTACCTGCTTTCCGTATAGTCCACAACTTATATAGCAGCAGTAAAATATGTAACGCATTATATAACTTTTACATGCATATTTGAAATATTACCTTTGTGCTACTTTCAAGTAAACACATTTATATGAAAGGGTTACGCTAAGCACCATAACACCATATGATCATTGAACATGCCATGATGCACGGAGTTTCCCTGTCACTGCGTCACGTCACTGGAAGATATAAGAGTGTCTCTCATCGGCATCATTGGATGAATTTTACATTCTCGTTTGACATTTGAGCAAACTTGCAATCAACAAGATTAAAAAATAAATACAAAAAAAGCTAACGCAGCCAAGTTATATTATAATATATGCTAGAGATTTTTTTTAATAATAATACAATATCTCAACTATAATAGATGGTTCCATCAAATAAAACAGATTAGTTATACTCTTTTGTTTTGCATAATAAAATTATATTTCTACAAATTGCTAATTCTGTATATTTTTTATTGTGTAATTCTGCTCATCTCTTTATCGTTGTATTAAACTGCGTATTGGCTGCTGCCGGTGCTTTGTAACTTGATTGATGGCTTAGGTCAGTCTGAATTCAGCCAACATTCAAGCTACGCACAGTGTACGACAAGGAAAAGGATGGTTTAAGCAGTGGATTATAATTTCTTTTTGGGCTTCAAAAAGAGTCATTGGGTTAAACACTCTTTACATTTAACCCCTTAAGGGCCAAACTTCTGGAATAAAAGGGAATCATGACATGTCACACATGGCATGTGTCCTTAAGGGGTTAAATAATGTCTTGAAATCAAAGCACATTAGAAAAAAACATCAAAATAATAGAGAGAGAGAACTACGGAAAGAATTATATTACGCAAAACAACACAACAGACCTGTGATTTATAATGTATTATATTATTTTCTTAGTTTGACACCATGTCCCAGGAAGCAAATGTGAACACAAAGGCTCTCGATCAGGCAAAGAACGAGGTTTCTGAGCTCCGACGACAGCTACAAGCCCTCGACATAGAGCACCAGACGCTTCAAAAAACGGTCATTATTGATAATGCCAAGATTCCATAGTGTATAACCTTTTGATAGATTTTGACTTTGTGGTGTATTTTGCAGTAATTTATATTTTAGATTTATTTGGGCATATCAGACACGGATGGGTTGTATTATAGGAGGTTTACTCACTAAACATTGATCAGCAATGGACTGAAAACGTAATTGCAAACATAGGCTATAGTCACAGCTTGCCGATATTAGTCAGAGTTTTGCAATTTAATATTCAATTCACAACAGTTCTGGCATTTAGTGAATAATAGTGAATAAGCCTCAATGCTGACAAAATGTGTTCAGACAACAGATTCATTTATAAACAAAATACGTATTTAAGACAAAAAGAAATCAACATGCCTTTAAGCATTCTCATATTTGCAAAGAAGTTTTCCCAATGTCTGCTGCTGCCCGAGGTTGGATGCATTTGAATGATTTATGCAGTAGTTAAATGAACACATACCCTATAGTGCTAAAAACACCATCTAGCGCCCCTGGCATTCATGGACTAATTCCCCTTCTCTATCATAATGTGCGTCTTTTCTAGGAGCTCTACATTGTTGGTGTGTCTGAGTGTAAAACAGAGCTTCACAGCAATAAAACTGCCAATAATGTGTGTTTAAGCAGCAATAAAGGTTATACTTTGCTCTAGTGCTAAACTACATTTCACAAACATTAATGGTTATCAGTAGGTCATTAAGTCACCTACCATAACCTCACTGCTGGCTATTTGGAATATTAGGAGGCAGACCAGGATTAAACCTAAAAGTAACCCTATAGGGGCCCCAGAACCCATGATTTGCTTCGCCCCATTTACCATCTCTGTATGAAAAATTAAGATTTGTCCCAAAACCAGAGACCTGCCTTAATCCTTCTCAGTAATAATGGGGTGGGGGAAGGGACTTAACCCTACTTTGTTATAATGGGGGGACTTAACCCTTCTCTGTAATAAGAGGCTGCCCTAACATAATGATAGGAATCAATGAGCAATACACGCAGTCAGAAAGCAGCAGCCATGACAGGTTAACATGGTATTTATGTGATAACTGTTAAGAGTAGTGTTATTAGACTGTAATGATGTGTCCCTCCATGTCCCATAACAGGTTGACTCCTTAGATCACGTTCTGAAGGACACAGAAGATCACTATGGCTCCAATCTAATGGAACTAAACCACACACTTACAGGGCTACAGGACGAGCTTGCAGCCTGCCGTTCAGACATAGAGCGCCAAGTTCGGGATTACGAGGCCTTGCTCAATCTGAAATCAAAGCTGGAGAAAGAGATTCACGACTACCGCACTCTGCTGGAGGGAGTCGTAGACAAGTGAGAGCCGACTATCCCATGCATGTCTTGTCTAAAACTAAACAAATTTAAAAAAAACTAAAAATCTGTAAATCGGCTATTTTGGTATAAAATGTACCAAATGACTGATATTTCACAGTTTAGTGAATTACCTCAATAATCTAACATGTGGTATTGCCACAACAAAACCAGTGATTTTCCAGATGTCTTTTTTGGCCCTAGGTTTGCGGTTCTTCGTTTAGATTTTAAGCGCATTTGGGCAGTGCCCTCTTCACCTACAGTTCCTGTAAACATGCTCTGTTAGAATTTAATGTTTGTCTTGTTTGCCTATTGTACATCGCTGCAGAATCTGTTGGTGCCATTTAATAATTGTAATTACCCTCTTTCTGTGTTTCAGAGAGGATGAGCCTACATCCTCACCATCCGGAGGTAAATGAAGATCAGGGAATCTTGGCAACAGTGGGTATTGTTTCCTTCACTTTGTCTCTTGCAATGTTTATAATTCCCGACATGAAGAGTGATTCTTGCAATCTGATACTCTATCCTATAATAATACAATTATATTACAATGTAAAGGGACACTTTATTACACAAAATAGTGTAGTTTGAATTTTCTAACTTTATTATAATTTGTTGCTTGATTTCAAGGATCATGTTAATGGCTGTCTCCTCTACAAAATTACAGCTGGACCTTCACTGCACAGATCGATTTGTCATTCCACTAGTTCAAAATACACTGAACCAGCAGAGGATTCATACCCACAATATCTCTCGTTAAAGGACCACTATAGTGCCAGGAAAACACTTGTTTTCCTGGCACTACAGTGCGGCCCCCTTCCCGCCAGGCTCTAGGGGGTGGAAGGGGTTAAACTTACCTCTTTTTCCAGTGCCGGGCAGGGAACTCTCCTCCTCCTCGGCTGAATGCGCATGCGCAGCAAGAGCCGTGCGCGCATTCAGCCAGTCCATAGGAAAGCATTCACAATGCTTTCCTATGGACGCTGGCGTCTACTCACTGTGAAAATCACAGTGAGTAGCGTGGAAGCGCCTCTAGCGGCTGTCAATGAGACAGCCACTAGAGGCTGGATTAACCCTATTATAAACATAGCAGTTTCTCTGAAACTGCTATGTTTATAGAAGAAAGGGTTAATCCTAGCTAGACCTGGCACCCATACCACTTCATTGAGCTGAAGTGGTCCGGGTGCCTATAGTGGTCCTTTAATACGACATTATGGTGTAGGATCAGTCTTTTAAAGGACCACTATAGTGCCAGGAAAACATACTCGTTTTCCTGGCACTATCGTGCCCTGAGGGTGCCCCCACCCTCAGGGTCCCCCTCCCACCGGGCTCTAGGGTGAGGAAGGGGTTAAACTTACCTCTTTCTCCAGCGCTGGGCGGGGAGCTCTCTGAAAATCACAGTGAGAAGCACACAAGCGCCTCTAGCGGCTGTCAAGAGACAGCCACTAGAGGCTGGATTAACCCTAACATAAACATAGCAGTTTCTCTGAAACTGCTATGTTTATAGAAAAAAGGGTTAACCCTAGCTGGACCTGGCACCCAGACCACTTCATTAAGCTGAAGTGGTCTGGGTGCCTATAGTGGTCCTTTAAGTTTCACATAAATAGATAAAAAAAAAGAATGAGTTTTCTTAGAGGGGCAAATTAGAAAATAAAAATTAAAACTTACGATTTTTAATTTTTTTATTTTTTTTTACATAAATTATGGCTTATTTTGCTAAACAATAGCAACTGTGTCATTTTCAATCTCAGAAGGCTTTGTTTACTCTGAAAATAAAATCAATATACCTATTTTGGCCTAAATGATGCAGTTCGTGTATATTCAGTTTCAAAAAAATATTGATATTAAAAAAACTAACAATTACGTATACCAGTGAATTATATGTATACACATTTGAAATCAGAGGAACACGAAGATTAAAAAAAAATATATACATACTTGTGTTCCTTCTTTTTTACACTGAATCCCCCCTTATAAAAATCTAATTTAAAATAAATAAATAAATAACTTTCCATTAAACGTACCTATAGTCCAGTGTGGAGACATTCTCCTCTTGGCATTTGCTCTGTTTACTGTACGATCCTCACGGTTGATGATTGTATGGTTAGTCTGATGCTTCTCATAGAGATGCACTTAATCCATTGCTTTCGGTGAGACGAATTAGACGAGCTCTGCATTGTCATGCTGTGCACTAGTGGTGCAAAGAGTAAACACTGCTCTATTACATTGCCAGAGGAAATAAAATCGGTGCTATGAACCAAAACCATGCCATTAGGATGAAGTGGTTTTGGTGCTTAGAGTGTCCATTTAAATCAAATTATACAATTATGTGTGCATGCTTATTGCCATATGTTTTTTCAACTGTCCAAATGGCACCAGATGCAAATCTCAGCATCTATAGAATAAGCATTTTGTAGCAACTAAAGCTGTGGATACGTACACATTCTTTTTAAAAGCAACATGCCATTAGAGATGTTGCGAACTGTCCGCCGGCGAACAATAGCGTGTTCGCGTTGGGCGAACATATCCGATTTCCGGTCCGCCCCCTATACGTCATCGAGTAAACTTTGACCCGGAACCTCACAGCCAGCAGACACATTCAGTGTCTGCTGACTGTGAGGTTCCGGGTCAAAGTTTACTCAATGATGACACATTCAGTGTCTGCTGACTGTGAGGTTCCGGGTCAAAGTTTACTCAATGATGACACATTCAGTGTCTGCTGACTGTGAGGTTCCGGGTCAAAGTTTACTCAATGATGACATATAGGGGGCGGACCGGAAATCGGATATGTTCGCCCAACGCGAACACGCTATAGTTCGCCGGCCGACAGTTCGCGACATCTCTACATGCCATGTCTTATAAAACAAATAAAACCACTGTATTGGCCCAGAACATCCTGATTACCAAACTGCAATGAGATATACAATGTTTAATTACCGGTAACAGACCCAAATAAGAGTACAACTTACACAAGCCATCGGTAAATTATCAGAGATTCTCCCAAGAAATAACATTGTGGAAAATAAAAGAATGAATTAAACAGAATGTGTTCTAGCCAGGTTAGACACATTCCTGAAAACAAAAGAATGAATTCAACAGAATGTGTTGTAGCCAGGTTAGACACATTCCTGAACATTTCCTTTCTTTTTACAAAAGTGTTACTGTCCACTTATTGATTGATGTTTTACTAAATGTTTGAAATTTAGCTTGTGTCCATATCTGTTTTTTTTATTTTTTATAGGGAACAAGACGCAGACGATTCAAAAGGTTTCTGTGACGAGAAAGGAATTAGTGGACGGACAAGTGATATTTTCATCTACCAGAGAAGCGGTTAGAATCAAATAAATAAATTCAATAAAATCCTCAATTTCAAATGCTAAATAGATCTGAGATGTGACGGGTGGCAAATGTGATGGTTGTTTACTCCGCGACAGAATTCATTTTTCACGTCTGCGCAGACAGGCTACGTGGAGGCAATATTAAGAACCATCACTCATTATGGAGGGATTTCGGGTGGATGTCTTCGTACCGAATTTGCAAAACATGTTGAAATCACATTTTCTTCAATAATTTCTATATTCCTACCTACAGAACTTTATCACAATTCGATTTTTTTTAATAATAAAAAAGACTAAATATAAATGTTTATTTTCTTTGTCCTGTATTTTCACCAGAGTTAATTAAGCTCTGGATTTAACAAACCTTTAGCCTAGGATGTTTGGTTAAAACCCCATCACACCTTTTTGAATACCTTAGTAAAAAACCCAACTTGTAAATCGAACTCACCGCATTGCGTTTTCCCACACATACACTTTACAATGGAATTACAGTGTATGAATGTGACATATATAAGGGCCAATCATTTACAGCAGAACAAGGAAAGGGCGAGTTCACCATTAAGGGTGACATTTTACTGACAAATGTTCCTTTTACATTCTAAAGCAAAAATAAATTTCTTTATAATGTACAATTTCTTTAGAATGTAAAATTGCTTTATAATGTACAATATCTTTAGCATTTAAAATTGCTTTAGAATGTTAAAGATTTTTGCAGAAAGCAAAGAGGGTCTGTGATAATGACAGGGTTAACCGATTCAGCACAGCCGGATCCTGCGTAATATGAATATTTAAAATGCTTAAATTAAATGTGTCCCATGTGAAAAGGTCTTTGGGTGCTTGGAATCCTACCTTTTTGTCAAACCACCTCAAAACCAATATGCAGCAGTAGTTATGGTGCTCAGAGTGCTCCTTTAAATAACGTATGTGATGGGATACTGATCAACAACATATTTGGGGATGTCAGAACCACTTTAATGCAGAAATGACTTTCCAGCTTTCAGATCTGTATAACCAAATAAACACTATATGGACCAATATATAGGGCCACCTGACCATTACACTAACAGACTTTTATGACGTTGCATTCTAAATACATAGACATTAATATGTAGTTAGCGCCCACCCCCACTGCAACTCTAACAGCTTTCACACTTCCTGGAAGGCTTCCCACAATATTTTGGATTATTTCTATGGTAATGTTTGCACATTCATCCAGTAGAGCACTTGTGAGGTCAGGCAGTGATGTTGAACAAAAGGCCTGGCTCACAATCTCTGTTCCAGTTCATCCAAAAATGTGTTCGATGATGTTGAGGTCAGTGCTCTGTGCAGGCTAGTTAAGTTATTCCCCACTCATCCAACCATGTCTTTATGGACCTTCCAGTCGAGGGTCTTTCCCAAACTGTTCCCACAACGTTGAAAGGATAGCATTGTCCAAAATGTCTTGGTATGCTGAAGCATTAAGATTTCCTTTTACAGGAAGTAAGGGGCCTAAGCCCAACCCCTGAAGAACAGCCCCATATGATTATGCTTCCTCCACCAAACATAACAGTTTGCACAAAACTGTCAGGCAGGTAACGTTCTCCAGGGCATCCGTCAAACCCAGATCACTCATCAGACCGCAAAACAGAAGTGTGATTCATCACTCCATAGTACACGTTTCTACTGCTGCAGAGTCCACTTGATCCGACACTTGCCATTGTACAGGTGACAGCAGGCTAGCATGCAGCTGCTCGGGCATGGAAACCCATTCCATGGATTTTCCACAGCAAAGTTTTTGTATTGATATTAATGCCAGAGAAAGTTTGGAACTCTTCAACTATGGAATCAGCAGAGCAATGGCGACTTACACTCCATGCGCATCAGCACTCTGTGACTTTACGTCACTTAAAAGGAGTTTAAGCATGCATGGGATAGGCATAAGGCTATCCTAACTATAAGATAAGGCCAGGGACTAATGAAAGTATTTAGAAAATTGGGCAGACTAGATGGACCGAATGGTTCTTATCTGCCGTCACATTCTATGTTTCTATGTCTTCCACTTTGTGGCCCAGTCGCTGCGGTTTCTAAATGCTTCAAGTTTTCAATATTACTTGCAGTCTGACTGAGGAATATCAAGCAGGGATTACTTATTGCACAGTACTTGAATTCACTGATCTCTTCAGAACAACCCATTTTTTTTCACAAGTCTTTGTAAATGCAGACTGCATGGCTAGGTGCAGACAGAATCATTAAGAGGTGTGTCTTAATACTTTTGCCCATATAGTGTATTTGAGGATTTCTATTCTCAGCAATAAAATTATTGCAGATATTTAAATGAAAGCAAGAATAAAAAAAAAATTAAAAAAAAAAAATATATATATATATATATATATATATATATATATACACACACACCACTTATGGGACACAGCTATGGTATAGTCAGTAGGAAACACTCATGAAATGGGTGACGTATTCTACAAGCTGCTGCTTAATATTAACTCTAAGCTAGAATTAATTGGGTTCAGAGAACACATGAAAGAATATAAGTGTGACTTGTTGACATAATTATCTTTGTTCAGTTTACGCAGGTAAAAGTGGATGACAGTGCTCCCACTACGTAATCATGTCATTGTACGGCACAATGGAATATGTTGGCACTTTAGAAGGGAATTTTTATTTTTTTATTTTTAATAAATGTTCTATACAGTAGAGAAGCACTTTTTAAAAGCAGCGTACAAAGCATATCCCCTAAATACACAACTGTAATAAACAGGGCTTAAAATGTGCAGTACTATGCTACGAGCCAGGTCTTAATAGTTACTCGCTACTGCAAACCAAAGCAAGCATACTAGCCACGGCTAAATAATAACTTGCCAATAGCTAATGGAAATTTTGACCCTGGTAATAAAGATAGAAAAGCCTTAACCCACAACTAAGTATCCCCCCGTCTTCTATGAACTGTTCTAAAGGAAATGTAGATTTATAGAAGATATATGTTAAATGTTTGCATTCCTGACTTGCAGTACATGTTAAATTGGGCAGCAGAGGATAAAGATGTACACACCGTCGCATATTGGAACAAAAACAAAAGTAGTGGAAATTGCCATTTTTACACCAAAAGTATCCAACTGATATAATACCCAACTCCAAATATTTTAACAAAAACTTCGCAATACCCTTGTCAATTATCCACAATTTTAAGTACAGTAAACAACCATAACATTCCAAAAGTCAATAAAGCAAGGAAAGAGTGTAGACAGAAATAAACAGTCAGTGATGGAATGTTCCGTATCTCCAGTAAAGTGTAAATAGAAAAAAGTCAGTGATGGAATGTTCCGTATCTTTAGTAAAGTGTAAACCGAAATAAAGTCAGTGATGGAATGTTCCGTATCTTAGTAAAGTGTAAATAGAAATAAAAGTAGTGATGGAATGTTCCGTATCTTTAGTAAAGTGTAAATAGAAATAAAAGTAGTGATGGAATGTTCCGTATCTCCAGTAAAGTGTAAATAGAAATAAACAGTTAGTGATGGAATGTTCCGTATCTCCAGTAAAGTGTAAATAGAAATAAACAGTTAGTGATGGAATGTTCCGTATCTCCAGTAAAGTGTAAATAGAAATAAACAGTTAGTGATGGAATGTTCCGTATCTCCAGTAAAGTGTAAATAGAAATAAACAGTTAGTGATGGAATGTTCCGTATCTCCAGTAAAGTGTAAATAGAAATAAACAGTTAGTGATGGAATGTTCAGTATCTTCAAGCCATTGGAATAAGTCCTGATTATACTGGGCCTGGTTTAAACATGGCATTGATATAAATTCAGAGATAAAATAAAAACAATACACTATTTTCCAATATTAGGATAGAAAGATTTATTTATTTATTTTCCAACAATTCCAAAATGATTACGGTCAACGTTTCAATTCATACGCACAGGTATGTTCATTGGGATTTTAGTTTGTCTGATAAGAAAACAAGTAAATACAGAAGCAAAACATGGCAGGGAAAGGACAATGGTAACAGCCGGCATGACAGCGGCCTGTTTCATTATTCTTCAGTCATGGCAAAGCACAGCTTAAAATACATTTTACTGAATTGTACCCCAGAATGCAGATCATATTGGAACCGTTCCACCTGGATTCTATTTATGCTGGGGAGGGACAGGTGCTAACTTATGCCATTTCACTTGTTTGACTTGGCATTCCCACGTGTGATCAACGGGTGGCAAATGTCTTTCCCCTGCGAAAAGAAAGGAAAAAAAAATATAAAATATTAACAGAAAACACATAAGGACGAATGCTGAACTAAGAGAAAACATTGTTAGAATGGAGAAAATATTTCCACAAGAATGACTCATTGTACGATGTAAGGTACAAAAATTAAATCTATACAGTGCTCTATCAAAACGATCTTTGAATGAGTAGGCTGATAAGAATATTTACATGAAGCAGCAATCCTTATCAACAAGGCGCCACAGATCCTCTCCCACAAGAGAGAGTGCTGTACCCATGAAATCTAACACTATGTGAATAAACAGAGTGCATACGCTCATTGATGTGACATACTTGCAGTTTTTAATTTTACAAAGCTACTTAAACTCACCTATCTCAGCAAACATGGAGATTCAGTTCCACCATATGGCCATATTGTGTTAAGACCACCACTATGTCACAGTACCCCAAAATCGGTGGATCCTACACCAATTCCAACGTGGGAGATTAAATAGTGGCTTAACACAATATGGCCATATGATGGAACTGATCCCCAGATTTGTTTGCTGAAATAGGTGATTTTAAGCAGCCTTATAAAATGTGTGCGCGGTACCTTAATCTGTATTACGTATACATTTTGGTCTCTACGGTAGCACTATTCTTGCAAAATTCAAGTTTTTGGTGTGCTCCTAATTCCCTTTTTGCCTATATTGGAAGTTTTTAATCGGTTTGCTGGCAGCATAGTGTAACAAACCATAGGTAGCAATGTTTATGTATATTACCCAGACGCTGACAGTATTTGGTGACAAACACCACAAATATTAAATATATAAAAGCTGACTTTTCTACACCCCATTATAGTCTATGGTTAGCCAAAACACTAACTCCGAACTTAAATACTGTAGAAAGATTATGTTAAAACATCCACGTTGTGGTAGTGATGGTATGAACGCAAATTTACACATCTTCACGTTGTGCATTAGTTTACATTCACAGCTATTTATCCACTTCAGACCTCTTATTTGGCAACATCCAAAAACTTCCAAACGTGTACTGTAAAGGTACAGATAACCTATTCAACTGGTATGTCTCAACCCATAAATTAAACTACTTCCACTTTGGTAAAAAGAAAAAAAAAAAATACATAAATATCCATACATTAGATGTGTGTGTCTGGATTGAGCACGAGTAACAGATGGTATCAATAAGTCACATGGCTTTCTTTGAGAATTCTGGAATGTGGTTCTGAACCAATAGGAATCATATGAATGTTCTTACTTGATTGCTGTAACTACACAAAGAAAGGTTTTGTCACAGACATCCTTCATTTAACTGGAGTGTTGGGGTTAGGTTTGAAACTTCTTTGATTTTATGGAAATAGACTTTCTGAGTCAAGCAATTACATTCATCATGTAACATCCTTTGTTATTATATTACATATTTGTAATGGCAAGCTGAATAAACCTAAAGAAACCGCAAGTCTGGTGCGTATTGATGTTTCTAACTGACACATAGAAGAAGAATATATATCTATATTAACATCATGGCGAGCCACTCAACAAGAAGAGAAATACAGACTATCTAAGAAGAAAGATTTTTCTACAAATACCTAAAACATATTTAACCACACAGGTGAGTGAAGTACCCTTATATGACAGCAATTTACAAACAAAATAAATATATATACACATCTTCAAATACCTACTGGAATTGCAAAAAACTGATTTCTGTGAGATAGCATGTCAATACACGCACAGATATGTCACAGTACACATGCGTGCATAGTATGACCAGTGACTTGCCACATGCTGGTGGTGAAATGACTTTTTTTACCAATAACATTGTTTCAACATAAAAAGAGATCACATGATCATAAAACAAACTTGGGTCACATCCAAGACAAGTTATTACTTAAGGTGTAGTGAACCAAGGGAGGGTGAGTGATTTTGCAGAAGAGTCTCCTTCGGACAATGGGTAAATAATAAAATATGTGCATTCCTCGGGATATACCAGAAACAATTTTTTTGTAATGTACTTAACACAAACTAACAGATCAATTTCCAAAAGACAGAAAAGTTGGAGCTCTACAGCTGATGATCAGAAGACTTCTTTCAGAACTGGTGTTTTCAGATGGTGAGAGTGGTACCATAAGATGCTCACACCAACAGCTGGATACACGGCACAATGCCAGCTCCCTCCAGCTACACCCACTTACTGATTTCAAAACCCTTGGCAGCAATGTGTCAATCTATTCAAACGATGATGTAAAAACAAGATTATCCAAAAAACAAGAAAATTAGCAAGCCACTAAAGAGGCCATACCGAAGAAGCAATCCTCTCAAATAATCCTGGCTTCTCGACAATAACATGGCACCTATGGAGAGCGGCCTAATACAGAACTGGTCTATTAATAACATGGCACTCATGGAGAGCGGTCTAATATAGAACTGGTCTCATTCCAATAACATGGCACTCATGGAGAGCTGTCTAATACAGAACTGGTCTCATTCCAATAACATGGCACCTATGGAGAGCTGTCTAATACAGAACTGGTCTCATTCCAATAACATGGCACTCATGGAGAGCTGTCTAATACAGAACCGGGCTCCTTCTAATAACATGGCACCTATGGAGAGCTGACTAATACAGAACTGGTCTCCTTCCAATAACATGGCACCTATGGAGAGCTGTCTAGTACAGAACTGGTCTCATTCCAATAACATGGCATTCATGAGAGCCAATACAGAACTTACGTTATAGTTTTCATTTCCTTTTTCTCAGCGTCTGGGCGAGCCCGGTTAAGAACTTTAAGGAATTCTGAGGTTTTCGCCCTCATGCGAGTATGGATATAAGCCTGGTGACAAAACAAGGAGCATAAGAGGGACAATTTAATTACAGCTTTGGCATCTAACGTAATTTCCAGTTATAGACCAATTAATAAGACATAGCACACATATAGAACAACAATTTTAACAGAGACGAGGGCAGTTTTTCTACAGCAGATCCAGTCGAGGCCTGTATCATTGCTGAAGCCATATCCAACTTCATATTAAGACATAAGAAAATGGAATCTAAAATGTTTAAAATATAAAGCTTGCTTACTGACCATAGGTAGGCTGGATACTCCTGAATAACCATCTTTTGAACTATACATTGCTTAAGATTTGTGTTAATATTTGATTAATACTGTTTGCCAAATATTTACATGGCAGGTACACCATGAATAGCAGATTAACGTGCAAATCATGAATTCAATAACTTATCATTGGAAAAATACAGACAAATTAATCAATTAAAACATTTGTAAAATAACCATCTAAATAATAATTAATAATTCCCAGCTAAACGTAGGTCCCCATCCAGTGTCAGGAACCTAGGTTAGCCATCCTTATAAAGTACCTTGGAGCACTTGATGTGATAGTGCAAATAATCCCGGAATGTGTGGATAAGGTTGATGGTATTGTCCCGTGCATTGGGGTTAGTATGGCGTGGAAAGAGCACTGAAGAAAAACGAAACACAAATGTAAGCAATAGTCAAAAGAAACACACATTTACTCATCACTAGTCAAAACAGAGCCCTTACAGGTATGCAAGAAATGGCAGATAGTTGCATATGATCTATTAAAGTGGTACTGTCACCATATGGGGCAATAGTAAAATTGGGGTTTGTGATAGGGGGGTGGAAGGGAGGCAAAAGTACAGCATTGAGGTTCCTGCCAGATCCTCCTTAAATAGAGTGGGGGAGGGTTGACACTTCCAGACAGTGTCAGGCAGAGGAAATATCTCTTGACTAGGTTGGAATTTCAGTAAAATTCCAACACAGTCTATATGAGTATTTCATAAATAGATTCCTTGATACATACTTACCAAATGTGATGTATCCAATATTATCACCCACAGCTGCATCTGTGTCCTTTAACTCCAGTGGAGGCTCTCGGTGACTGAAGAGTACCTGTGGCGCTGTGTGACTGGCACGCCGACCTTCTTTAAACTCCTGCACAAAGATAAGGATAGCCAAATATAAACAGGAGGTCACTAAAACATGATCCATTTAGTGTGAACCCCATGGCTCTTTCGCCTCACACTAAACAGACATTTCAAAAACCAGTAGCCATCCAAAAAAAAGAAAAACGTATATGTGTGCTTCACCTGCATGAACACTTTGCCAATCACTACGTCATCATCATCTTTAAACACCGTGCTGAATACAACAGTCACTCTGTCTTTCTTGGCCTCCACGTACCTAGAAAAATGCCAAATTTTAAAAAAATGCTGAAAATGCCATCAATACACACATTAAGTATGCACTTGTTTTTAATATTCCAAAGAATAACACGTTACTCTGCTCTGAAAAAAAGACTTACATGGTCTCATCATCACGGTAATGGATCACAGCTCTCCTCTCTCCCTCTCGTCCCTCTTCTTGAAACTTGAAATATTTTTCGAACACGGACGCAAAGCAGTTGCGTTTGAGCATGCCAGCTTGGTGAACAACGGAGTCTCGGTTTGGAGGTAGGTTCTCAAGATTGTACAACAAAGACACATTGTAACCTGCAGAGACAGTATTTGTGTCGATCTTGTTATATGATGTATGTAAAACAGCAGGGATTCAATACAAATGGAGATTTAACCCCTTAAAGACACATGACATGTGTGACATGTCATGATTCCCTTTTATTCCAGAAGTTTGGTCCTTAAAGGGTTAAAGGAAACAATCATCCTAGTTTCAATTTCTTTAACGGAGCAGTTGCTCAAGACCAAAAAAGTGGATTCCTTTCCACCATTTACGGAGTAATAGATGGCATATCAGATAACCCCCTACAACATTTGGACCTGCCCCAATAATTAAAAGTATTCTATCCTAAAACCAACTTGAGTTCTGAGCGGGGACCCACCGAAGGGCAGGCTATTTTAGCTGCTGTCCGTTCTCAGAATACTCTTGCGACCCTTTTTTCGCTCTCCATTAGTTTAAAGGGTAATCCAGACATGAACCCCTTGCTCACGGTGCCTAGAGAGATATCAGCTATGCCTCACTGATAATGCCTAACAAGGTTGAAATAATCATCTGGGGTTGCTGTATCTCTCGTGCAGAGAGAACTTGCTGGCATTTTGGATCTGGACTGCCCGTATGGGTGGGACCAGTCTGATATGCTTCAGATATGTTCTCTCTGTAATGGCACAAGAGGAGCTAAAACCAGCTTGAGATCTGAGCGGGGACCCACCGAAGGGCAGGCTATTTTAGCTGCTGTTCGTTCTCAGTATACTCTTGCGACCCGTTTTTTGATATCCTAACACTAGTTAATCTACCACCAGATAAGGAATGCATAGGGATTCTTAATAAGATTACAGTTTGCCTCATTGACATCTGGATAAAGTGTGTGCGGAAGTATCCTTCCTGTCAATTTAAACGCATACCTTTGTAGAATTCAAGTGTAGCCATCAAATACTGATACACAAAGCACAGATCGCACAAATATTTAATCTGCATCATGTACAATGAAAAGGTTGAGGTGAACCTGACTATATGTGAGAAGTTACTGAACTGTCAGAACGGCACTAGCATTTTGGGGAAGTTACCGGTGGGGGGAGGGGCTGATGTTTCACAAACCGTTTGATGTGATAAATTGAGAGTGCAAAATGTAGGATAAATAACCAATGCTGGGTAGAAGATATTCTTATTTTTCTACATATTGGCTAAATTAAGCTAAATCTTACCAGTTGTCATAATTTGCTATTTATTTGAATTTAAAGCAACCTGTACTTTTAGAATGGAATTTGATACATACCTGGTTCAGGATCAACCAAGAAATCCCCATAGGTTTTCGTTAAGGTCTGTCAGAAAGAAAGAAACCGTGAGCTGAAAAACTGCATTAAAAACCCTTCATTGTTTAAATGACAGGCGTGCAAAACAAAGTTTACCATTCAAGTAACAATGAAAGGAATATTTATTTTCTGCACTACCAAGCTTTGAGCTGCAAGTATTATGAACCACCCACGAATTTTAAAACTATGAATAATTTTAAAAGCTAGACAATAGTATGCAGATCAAATGGCTAAATCAAAAATCCTATTTCTCACTAAAATAAAAACTGTACAGAGAGAAGAGGTCTCTAACCTTGATCGTAAAGCGGTTATTGGCTGCAGTGAAATATGTAAATTTATTCGTAAACAGCCTTGCTCCAGCACCAAACACTCCAAATATTAAATAGGATTGATTGAAAGGAGACTATATAACTGCTACAGACTGCCTTAAAGCGCAAATGTCTCTTTCACAAGATTTTGAATGCCTTGTGACTTTTTTTTAACCATAAAATCTCAATTGGAATCTCACCAACTGTCTTTAACCTATTGTGTAGCACAATATCGGTAATATGCTGTACCTACACTGCATCTTAAAACAGTAGCAAACTAATAACTAATTGTAACATTTGTTTTGTGATAAAATTTCAGCTGCAAACACAAATGAATACAAAAACATTATTATTTTTTTTAAATAGCTCAGAATGTCGGGTACACAAATTATGTGAAGTCTATGTTTTTCATTTGCCTTAAAATCTGCCTTTTATCATCACAATCTGTGGTATAAGATTCTCTTTTTATTTCTGATACCTTCAAAAGGTAGAAGTATATTTATAGAGCATTTTAACGCAAGCTCAAAGTCAGATTGTGAGTGGGAGAGTGAGGGGGTGCAGGAAAGGGAACACACGCAGGGATTGGAATCATTATGTATAGTATCAGGAAATAAATGACATTGTACACAGAATAACATCTTCATCCTGCTGAACCAAAGGAAACTAACTGTAGCCAATATATCTAAGCTGCTATGTACATTTGATGTCTAACACTTGTTGGAAGTACAGGTGAATTTTATGAAAATGCTGTTTAGGTGACTGTCCCTATGAGAACTAAGAGTAAAGATGATTCCAGCACAAAACAAAAATTAAACAAATGTTCCCAATGGTAGGATACTTGGAAGCAGATTATTGAAAGGAAATATTTAGGGCAAAGGAGAATAAAGAATTGTTTGCTGAATCAGGGAGGACATTCCTGTGGGGCTTGCAGTTTACATCTTAATGTGTTGCAGAGCAGCTCTGAGCAGTGACTCAGGAAGGCTGAGACACACACTTCCTGTTGTTAGACAGACCACATCGCTGCGTGTGCACACACGGCTATAAGAAGGCTCTGTGTTTTCTTCCATAAAAGGCTCTCTCAATCACGTTCACGTAGCACAGGGGAAACATCCTGTACTGAACCTGGCGAAAGCCTGGCCTGACCCAGTAATACACACACACACACAGCAGACATCGGCTACTGGCTGGGCAAGCTGGGAAACTTAATGAAAACCACATCAATTATGGAATTTCAAACAAAAATCAGGCAGTTTAAGACTGGTCTATTTCCTCCATTAAAAAGGTTTGAACCAATCTCCCTGCCGCCCTCTTGCTTTTAACATAACCTCTGCTACACCCTGTCTCATTTAGATTGTAATCTTAATAGCCATCTCATGCTCTGCACAAATCCCTAGGGAGGGATTTCTTTCCTTCTCTGCTAAAGGTGTCTAATTCTGTATTGTACTAACACACCTTGTGTACAGCCCTGCACAGAATGTTGGCACTTCATAAATTAAAGGAAAACTTTTGCTGTCTTGCTGAGCACCAAAATGATTAGAGCAGGGGTGTCAACCAGTCCCCGTTTTGTATTTTTAAACTACAATTAAAGCTTATTAGTATGCTGCCAAAATCTACTTCTATGCTCTCACAACTTTAAATACATGTTAACAATACATCAATATGAACGTATTATTTATGTTTTCTTTTGTTTCCTGTTATATGTGCTGAGGAATGGCTATTGTCCTTACAAATTATGTATTTTTTTATGTTCCCTTTAACGCTATGGACTCTATGTAGGTATTTAAACACATATGACTTCCGCGCATGCACACGTTTATTGCTGGACCAGAGGGCTGACACATCTCTGCGCAATGTCACTTCCAAGTGACAATCGAGCCGCAACATTTCTGCCATACGTTTGCCACTACCCTATGGTAAGGACATGCGAGATGTGTCACTTCCAGGTGGCTTTCACAAATACAACTACCGTATGTATTACAGATGCATCACAACTAAATCACAATCACAACTAAGAACTGATCCTGAAGACGTAATTTTCCAGCACGATCGATACAGGAAGTAACCAAAGAAGATAATTAAGATATCCAAGCAACGCCAGACACTTATAATGTATTAAGACAACCTATATAAGAAGATGTCATGCACATTAGCGCCACACTTCTGATGAAACCCCAATGGGAAACGCGTTAACTGTGATTTTATAGCCTGCTTTTGATTTTAGCATAGTATTTTATATTGTTTAGTTTGTTTATTGTTTTTATGTTGCAATAAAGTTAATCCTTTTTAGATTTAATTCATTTGGGATTTTACTTTGCACTCTGCAATTACTGGCTTCTTGGTTCCACTCATTCCAGGTGGGGATTGTACCACAAAAGCTCAAGAACATCAGAGCAGGTCCATGCTCTGTAACATGTAAGTAGGATACTTACCTTTTTATTTTACATCGTTATCTTCATACTGTACCATCGAATATACCAATCTTTTGTCTCCACATACTCACATTATCTCTTTGAGATATACCACCACTCACTATATATCCTAAGACGGGTATTATACTGTCCTCGCTAAATACAGAAGAACTCTTAGAAGCTCTAAAAAGTGTGAGTGTGTCTTTATTACACAACTATACTTTATTTACATTTGTAAACATATTGCACTATTATTGTGTGTGTTTCTACTTTTTTCTTTTTGAGATATCCAATATTACACAGTGAAATAAAAAAAACTCTATTCTGAGAATATATATATATAAATAAAAATGTGTGTGTTCTGTGATTACACTAAAGGGTTAACTTCCATTAGGCACGGTTTATCTATCGCTTGTTTTAAAGCCTATTAAATCCTACTACAGAAACTTAAATGGATAAAAACTTTCCAGAAAAAAAAAATCCCTTTGCTTATGGTAGGTATAATTTTTTTTGTACTAGTGCAAAAAAAATAATTGTGTAAATACTGTATTTCCAGTTTTAGAAATGTTTTATCAGTGGTTACATTTTATATACTGCAAGCAACTCCACAAACAATTCTAATGATCGGTACTACATGCCCCATAATGCACTACCAGTGAAACAACAAATGTGATTCCATACGAGAGAAATTTGCATTACAGCTTTACATGACCCTTTTCATAAATGATTGGGCAATATGGTGCTGTATGTAAATCATTCTGTAATTTATAAAAAATAATCCACACAACTAATTTTACACAGCATCAAAACTGATCCATAATACCGAAGAAATCTGGGATTCTCACCTCATCAGTGCCATGTTCCTGTAGCTCCTTGTAGAACTTTAGTGAAATACTGATCATCAGCTTGGCTTTGTCACTACTTGGATTAGAGATATGGTAAAGCACTCCATCGAAGTCTGGAGAGGAAGCAGATTAAAAAGGTATCAACACTATAGCAAATGAGAGGCAGTCCTGCTGTCCTGGCTCTCTGTGCTAGGACCAACCCCATCATCATATACTAACACCGCAGCGTGCTTTAGGTTAGTGATGGAAGCAAGGGATGGCTGAACGGTGTAAATGGCGTACTGATAAATGCAATGGGGACTAAAAGACATGTGGAGAATGGCAGACTAAAACTTCGTGGATTATAATCACATGTAGAGAGTCTGTTAATACCCTCAGTTATTCACCGTCGCCTATAGTCTACTCAAATTAAATTATCCCCCTATGCAATTGTTAACTACAATCTATTTTACAATTTCTCTGTCAATGATTTGCTTAAAACAAAAAATGCCTCCCATTGTTCCAAAACTTCAAGAGGTTTTTATGGACTACACCCTTGTGTATTTTGGCCCAAATCCCTCCAGTTACACCACACAAAATACTATACTCCGTGATGGGGACAACCTTACGGAATCAATGATGTAATTCGGAATACGTTTCCTAGCAAGCTGGCTGCTAGACAGTCACGCTCCGCCAATTGTTTATATATTCCTATATCATATGTTTGGCTTCTATAAATCACATTGTATTTAAAAAAAAAAAAGAAAAAAAAAAAAAGAGAAGAGAATGGTTAAGGTAGAAGAAAACCTGCAGAATCCACACTTTATAACCCAATATAATAGGGGTTATTTATGAAAAGTGGTCTGAAGTACTAAACATTGAGCAATCACCATGTAAACCAGGAGACACATTCCAGCAATGACTTCCCCCTTTACAGGTTTGCCCCACTTTTAGAATATAATTTTTTTTATACTTAACATCCAATGTATCCATAGTGCAGACATCTGCTCCTGTAATGCTGCGTTTTTCAAACAGACACTAAACACACTTCCAAATCGTTATAAGATATTGAGATGTTGATATCTATACCATTTTTCTACTTTGGCCTAAAATTTGCTTTGAATTCCTGACAATATAAGCTTTAGTTATAGGGACACTCCCACACCAACAACAAAAAAATAATCTCAATAAAGTTGGTGTAGGGCAAGGAGTGCCCGGGTGCTGTCTTATCTTACAGTGTTTAAACCATTTTTGAAAGGTTTAACCCTGCAGTTGTCCCCCAGCGCCCATTAGTACTGTCTCTTCAGTCTTCTGCAGTGATCAGAGGGGTTCTGCAGTGGTAGCAGCGGGAGGAGACAGAAGCCCAAAAAAACAACTTCTGGGTAAATTTGTTTGAAACCCCATAAACTAAGACTGAAAACCAGTGGCTCGCGCTCCCACTGAGATGAAATGTTTGTTTAAGTAATGAGTGTTCCTTTAAGAACTATGTGGGGTTTATTCAGTTAGATCAAATATGAACAAACGCAAACATTCATGGAAAGGAGCCCAAAAAGTCAAGCTGCCACTACAGCCAAGTTGTCAAATTTTCCAAAGAAGTCATTTTAGCCTAGATTTTGGAAATCAGATTCAATTTGCTGCAATTTGGTATTTAGCGAGTAACCTGCGAGTATTACACAGAAAGGGTCAGTATTGTTCCATCAATGAGGAGCATATTGTATGGTCTATGCAGATTACACGAATGAACCAGATTTTGCAGCTACTGAACACACACACAGAATCAATGGTCATCAAGGAACGATGTTAACATTTCTTGACAGACTCAGGCAATGCGAAGGGCGGATGATCTTACCTGCAAATGTTACTTCTACTGCCTCTGGCTTGTTCCTGAAACAGACAAATATTAAGAGTCAGCTAGTGTGAACCATGTCATTTGGCTGTGACTTGGGATCAGAAGCATTAACAGACGGCTCTGTGAAGCAGGAAGACAGACAATATTGGACTATAAGCTCCCCTAGCTTGATATGTGTTTACAGTTACTGACAACTTACCAGCTGGCACAATGTATGCAAATTATAATAAAACAGATTATCTTATATGTCAAATAAACAGCAGAATAAATCTCCTGGTTAAACACCACTTATCAAGCACAGATACATACATACAAAAGCCCAAGCCTTGTATAAGGTTGGAGAGAAGTAGCATTAAAGGGACATTATTTACAACTACAGCTTAATGTAGTTGTTCTGGTGAGTATAGTCAGTCCCTGCATGCATTTTCATGTACACACTGCCATTTCAAAGCAAAGGCAGTGTTTAAATTGCTCCCTAGAGACACCTCCAGTGGCAATCACTCAGACGGCCACTAGATGTGGTTCCTGGGTCAGTGCTTCACAATGTGCAGCACTGACGTTCAGCATCTCCACGCTCTGCATGTATCACTATGAGGGGACGCCGATTGGCCAGGGTGGCGTTTGGCTCTGCCCAAGTACCACCTCCTTGGCTGAGATAATCAGAATTTATGATCTCGGCCAATCCAATGCTTTTGATATGGGAAAGCATTGGATTAGCTGAAATCATCAATTCTGATAAAGTCAGCCAAGAAGGTGGGTTGGGGGCAGAGCCAGCGCCGCCAGACCTGTACAGCCCTGGAATAAAGGTGAGTTTTATGTTTATTTAAGGGGTAGCTAAATAGTGTTTTTAACAATATAGGGACAGGAATACAAGTTTGTATTCCTGACCCTAAATTGTTCCTTTAAGCTTAATTCATTTTATAATGAATTTATAAACAAATTCAGTTATTTTCTCACTTATGAATACTTGCATTATGAAAGGGAAACACTGCCCAAATGAAAAAAATAAATAAAAATAAAAAATAGCATTTAGTAGATATACCTTCATTGAAAACATGCAGCATGCATTTAATTATGCATTTTTGTTTCCATTGTGGACATATTGAAAATCAGCCCAATAAGAAATCTTTGCAAGGCAGGTGCTCTAGGCCACTGAGCTAAACAGCAAAGTAGTAACAGGACTGGGGTATTAAAAGGTAATTTTATAAAAGTGGCAGTTTCGATTGAAATCTGCACTTTTTGTAAAAAAAAAGCATGCTAAACTGCTCTAGGTGTTTGGAGTGTCTTGTAACGGTAAACTGGTAACTGAAAGATAATGAACTTTACAATTTGTGAGATGTGTCTTGCCAAAGGCTATATTTAACATAAAATGTCAATATCATTTGTGAAACTTTCAACACCAGGCACTGGTATATGAAATATATTTTAAAAAAATAATAATAAAAGTTTGAAGATAAACAGTTCAAGGAATGAGTAAGGCTCCAGTTTGGATAACATCTGGTTAGGCTTGTTCCAGCATGCACGCTTGCATAAGGAATGATTCAAAGACGGGGCCTGTCTGAACGAGCTGTGAAATGCAGCAGAGGAGGAAGTAACAAATGAGTTAGTGGGGGTTTCAGTTTGAACATGAACAGGAAGGCGACGCTGCGCATTACAGAGCGTTTAAAAGAGGATGCTATGATTTTGAGCAGATTTGCCGTCAGTATACCTTATAATGTCTATTGTTTAATTTCTAAATGTGGCTTGGAGAGGTATGAGGCATGATGGGACATTCTCCCAGTCAAAGACAAACAACTTAGAACACATTGCTCCTCTACCCATGGTCCAAAATAGCAAGATATAATAACAGTAAATAAATGAATAAACATGCAGGGTAATGTATGACTAGTGACTGTGATGCAAGGTGCACAATGTGGAGCCATCACCTTGGAAAACAATGGAATGTTTCCGCAGACTAAGATAACTTTGCAGCAGATATCCCATAATGGCTGCTGGTGACCTACAAGTTAAACCGTCAGTCAGCAATGTGGTTGAGAGTGATGGGATTTACAATATATTTGCAGCTAGAGTACCAGTTCATGGCAGGCCCTTTCTTACGTAGAACAGTCAGATGAAGGCACTAAATGCTGTAACATCATTAGGAGTTAAATGAATGGAACTTGTACAGATGGAGGATACAGGTTCACCGTCTCCCATAAATTTACAGTAGATTATACACACGTCCCTTTGCCACTATGAATAGGTAATGATTGCCAGACTGAGACCCAACCTCTACCTGCCTGTAATCTTCCCTGTAACCTTTACCACCCACAGCCATTACCACCTTTCCCACGCCTTAATCTCCTTACCTGCCAGCGTAATGCTGTGAACTACACCTCTAAATACTAGCATCATTACTGAAACAAGAAACAAAACCCTTTATTTGCCCAACTTTCTTCCCTCTTACTTCCCTCTTGGCACAGACCCCTTACCCCTCAGGCATATTACCTCCATGCTCCCCCCTAGCACAGTCCCCTTACCCCCCATGCTCCCCTAGCACAGACCCCTTACCCCCCATGCTCCCCCCTAGCACAGACCCCTTACCCCCCATGCTCCCCCCTAGCACAGAACCCTTACCACCCATGCTCCCCCCTGACACAGACCCCTTAGCCCCCATGCTCCACCCCAGCACAGACCCCTTACGCCCCATGCTCCACCCCAGCACAGACCCCACTCCATGCTCCACCCCGCACGCCCCATGCTCCCCTGGCACAGAGACCCTTAAGCCCCATGCTCCCTGGCAAGACCCTAAGCCCCATGCTCCCCACACAGACCCCTTACCCCATAGCACAGACCCCTCCCTGCTAGCACAGACCCTTACCCCCATATAGCACAGACCCCTATACCCCCATAGCACAGACCCCTTTACCCCCCATAGCACAGACCCCTTACCCCTAGCAAAGTACAGACCCCTTACTCCCCTATAGCACAGACCCCTTACCCCCATATAGTACAGACCCTTAAGCCCCATGCTTCCCCTAGCACAGACCCCTACCCCCATGCCATACAGACCCCTTAAGCCCCATGCTCCTCCCTGACACAGACCCTTAAGTCCCCCCAGACTCCCCTTCTGGTGACCCTTACCCCCCAGGCTCCTCCTGGTGCAGACCCCTAATCCCCAGGCAGACCCCTTACCCCCAGGCTCTCTGGCAGACCCCTTACCCCCAGGCTCTCTCCTGGCAGACCTCTACTCTGTGGCTCCTCCTGGCAGACGCAGACCTCTACCCCCCAGGCTCTCTCCTGGCAGACCCCTTACCCCCAGGCTCCTCCTGGAAGACCTCTGGCACCCCTACCCTAGGCTCTCCTGGCAGACCCCCTTACCCCCCCTCTCCCCGGCCCCCCACTCACCCAGCCGCTGCATTATCGAATTTGAGGGTGAGGGTCTCCTCGATGATGCGGTTATTGACCTCGAGCAGGATCATGGCGGCTGCTGGCGGGGTGACAGGGAAGGTTCTCTCGGTGTCGGTGTGTGACAGGCCGCCGCTCCCTGCCCAGTCTAACCCAGCAACCACTTCCCTCTTCCCGGACTGCAAGATGGCGGCGCCCAGAGTGACTTCCTCCGTACGGCATCATGGCGGCGGCCATACATCCTCCTCCTCCTCCGTACGGCATCATGGCGGCGGCCACACATCCTCCTCCTCCTCCGTACGGCATCATGGCGGCGGCCATACATACTCCGTACGGCATCATGGCGGCGGCCATACATCCTCCTCCTCCTCCGTACGGCATCATGGCGGCGGCCATACATACTCCGTACGGCATCATGGCGGCGGCCAGACATCCTCCTCCTCCGTACGGCATCATGGCGGCGGCCATACATCCTCCTCCTCCGTACGGCATCATGGCGGCGGCCATACATAACATTAACCCCTTAAGGACTGAGAGTTGTGATGTAAACAAACCACAAAAATTTACTCTCTGTCTGTTCAACAATAATTCACCTCTTTCATACTAAATGCTCCCACACCTATTATATTTTATTATATTTATTTTATTATATTTTATTATATTTATTTTATTATATTTTATTATATTTTATTATATTTCATTATATTTATTTTATTATATTTTATTATATTTCATTTTGTTCAGGAGAAACAGGGCTATCATTTCATATTAAACATTCATATATGGAACGCCATTTTATATGAATAAAATCGAAAACCGTTTAAAACATTAAGAAATGTTGTTATTTTTAAAGTCCTGCATGGCAATTTATCTATAAATGTCAGAATACTGCTCGGTTTTCCTGCAATAAAACATATATATACATATTTGTATTCAGAAATGTCTTACGAGCACCGCAGGGCCCCCCACGTATAGGTTTTATGGGGTTTGGGAAAGTTACCGGGTCAAATATACGGCTTATCCATTTATGCTTTTTCACATTGAAATTTGTCAGATTGCTTCGCCGTGTCCAGGCTGCCTTTGAGACCTTATGGCAGGGCTGTATTTACCACAAGGCATGTGCCAAGGGCGGCGCCAAAAAAACGCCACCCCAAGCTCCCAGAAAAAAAGGCCTTGTTTGCCTCATGTTCTGGGACTGTCCACCTTACTGTGAGTGAGTGTAGCTGTCAGTGTGTGTCTGTGAGTGAGTGAAAATGTGTGTCTTTCAGTGAGAATGGGTGTGCCTGTGAGTGTGTGTCATTATGTGTATGTCATTTTATATGTATCTGAGTGTGTGTGTCTGTCAGTGTGTATCTGTCAGTGAGTGTATATCAGTGCACTTATCAATGAGGGCATGTGTCTGTCAGTCAAAAAAGGTGCCTTGACAAGAATTGGGGCAAATTTAGGTTTTGGGGGTGCCCAAATTTAGTCGTGCCTAGGGCAGCACAAGTCCAAAATACACCACTGCCGTATGGCAGCCAAGAAATGAAAATTACCCCCATCATGGCATACCATTTGAAAAAGTAGACATCCCATAGTATTCAAAATGGGGTATGCCCAGTCTTTTGTAGTAGCCACGTGGGCACTGCCCTGAAACACTCCTAGTTTTGTTCAGACCTTGTTTGTCTCACAAGCGCCACGGTACCCCCCATGTATAGGTTTTATGGGGTTTTGGAAAATTACTGGGTCAAATATACACTTGTCCATTTTTCTTTTTACACATTGAAATTTGGCAAAGTGATTTTCTGGGCCTGTCTCACCTTTGAGAGAGCATGGCAGCCTGGGTAATAACATTTCCACTATTATGGCATACCATTTTCAAAAGTAGGCAACCCAGAGTATTCAAAATGGCATAACTTGAGATGTTTGGTCTAACCACTTTATCAGAAATGAAGGGCCCACATAGCGTTATTGTTTTAGTTGTGCTTTTTCACACACATGTACTCACTTTTCACAGGACATTTCATATTCCTGATATGAGTTATTGCAACAAAGTCTCAGTATATTTATTTAACATTGTCTCCTGAATATAACAGTACCCCCATGTACCAGATTTTCTGTTTTTGCGGGGAAGACACAGTGACAAAAATATTAGATGCCCTTTCAGTTGTTTGTCAAAGTGATTTTCTGGGCCTATGTGGCTTTTCAGAGAGTATGGCAGCCTGGGTAATAACATTTTCACCGTTATGGCATACCATTTTCAAAAGTAGGCAACCCAGAGTAAAACAAATGGCATAATTTGAGATTTTTGGTCTAGCCATTTTAACAGAAATGCTGGGCCCATGTAGCGATTTCAACTTTTATTTTTGTCTTTTTAATCAGATAAATTGCATTTTCACTGGAAATGTCATAACCCTGGTATTAGTTAGTGCAATAGAGACTTGGTATTTTGATTTCACATTGTTTCATGAATATAACAGTACCCCCACGTACCATTATTTGCAACTGAGATTTCAGTCCACTACTATTTGATGTTTAGTGAATAAACCACATAATATTTTACTTTTCATGAATGATGCCACTAAAAACTGCATAAATATCACCTCGGATTTATGAGGTGTGCATAGAGTGCCCATTGCAAAGAATGTGAGGATCTGGATTGGCTGACAAGTTTCAGCCACTTCGCCCTGCAAACATGGTGGTAAAAACTGCATATTCTTGATATTTGTAGCAAATTAGTAGTAATCAGAGGTGCGACCCAATACCAGGCTAAAATTTCTCTTTAATAATATTTAATGGACTGATTTTCTTCATACTTGAAAGGTTGCTATAAGGGTCACTGGTTTAATGGATGTACCTCTTTACCTCTCCCAATAAGACAGGGATTGGGGGGGTTTGGATAATAAATCCATTTCAATTATTATTATAAGCTTCAAATCCCCTTTCTATAAGTGTAAGGTGCTATGGAATATGTTGGCGCCATAACACGGTAATAATAATAAAATGACATTAGGAATGCCTCCAATGTAAAGAGCATTCCTACATAAAAGCTACATATAGAGATATATCAGGTAACTGACACAAATGCAGTATGAAGTCTCATAGCTGTATAGGGCAAGAAACAAGCCCCCATAGTGCACGAAGTCTGCAGTGGGCTCATTACATCTATGTTTATTTATGTCCCACCACAATCACTGATTACATCCTCCCCGTCCTCCCCTGGTGCTTAATTTCCAAAAACGTGATAGTTTCTCTTTAATGTGCTTTCGGTATATCAGACTACAAAAAGTAGGCAAACTACCAAAGTTATTTTGCTTCTTATATGTTTTAAATGTTACTAATGCTCTGCACTAGATGCTTTTTAAATTTGGTTTTCAGGTGCAGTTCAAGAAAATTATTTTTACAGAAGTATTTTGTGTTTTTTTTAATGGTCATTTTCTCACCAATTTTTCGTTTATTATCTGTTTGTGAGAATTTTGGACTAGATTCTCCGGTGGCTTCAGCAATTTGTATTATTGCCTGGTTTTGCACAGATCTCTTTTTGCACGTGATATTGGTGGACGAAATTTTGGTACAATAAGTGTTTAATTGCACCTTAAATACACACGTATTAATCCAACTTCACGCACTAACACTTTTAACTTTGGTGATTTTGTGTCTTTTTTTTTTCTTGAATAATTCACTAACCTCTTTTAATTCATGGGAATCCTCTACAATCACCTCCATGTCCTCCTCCTATGGGACAGGAAGGGGGTTGTTCTGGCAAATTATGGCAATCCTCACTTGAAAAAAAAAATGGAAACAGCTGCGGAAATGACAGGACCACCCTAAGACAGCAAAGATCATTCATTAGTTGGTACCCCTTCCAAATGGTACCCCTTCCAGCCTCAGAAGACCCCAAGGCCCAGCTATAATCTCACAGCATGTGGCCTGTGACTCCTGGATACGCCACGTCTCAGGAACTATGGCTTTACCTTAAACCTTGTCAAGCTTTAGCCAAAATATGCAAGTACACCCTTATTTTAACTAATTTCAATTAAAAAAAAACCTTGCAGATAATATAAATTAGGAACCTTTCAGGTAATTCATCAGCAATATTCTTAAATCCTCTGCCTACCACTAGTTTGATAACCAAATCCGGCTCGCCCTCTTGCAAAACTCAAACAATATGTAGATAAACTGTCACAAAGCACCTATTGTAAACACAGCAAATCGCAAGTTCCTCATATAATCCGATTTATAAGGTGACAGTGACCGCACCTTTTGTAGATATTGGGAGTTCACGCACGTGGCAAAGTGGTACAAATATATACTTCTTTTGTCCAAAACCCATATTTATTTAGATTTTGCAGAGAACTAATCAGTTTGTGCAAAGTTTACATTCCCATGGCAAGGAATGACACATTGTGTTTGCTGAAGGAAATGAAAATGCATCTTAAATTACTATTGTAAAACTAACACTGAGAACTGTATAATTTAATCTTTGTCTAATAACCAAACAGACTGCCTCTAGTGGGTTTATTCACTAAACAAAAAATTGAAGTGAATTGAAAACCAAATGGAAAAAATATTGTATCAATAGCCAAACTGTGACTGTAGCGGGGTTGGAGAATTTGTTTTCTTCCCTTTATTTTGCAATTTGTTTTTTTATCAAGTAAATAACTCGGTTTAGTGAATACAAACTAAGTATAACACCCATGATGCTTTGACAGGCAGCTTGTAGCAATTTATATATTTTATCTGTATTAACTTAAAACTATAATTTGTTTCATAGCAAAATCCTATATATTCTGTTAATTAAATTCTCTATTTTTTTTGACACTTGTTATCCCACAAGCATAATTAAAGGGACACTATAGGCACCCAGACCAATTCAGCTCATTGACATGGTCTGGGCGCACTGTCCCAAGTCCCTAAACCCTGCAAAGGTATTTATTGCAGTTTTTAATAAATTGCAATAATTACCTTTATGGGTTAACTCCTCTTCTAGTGGCTGTCTACCAGCCAGCCACTAGCAGTGCCATATTAACAGCATTATAGACCCCTGGGGAAAGTAGTGCACTGGGGCCCCTAAAACAGCAATTCACAGGAAAAAAATGGTAAATTATGCTGAATACACAGACGCAGATTGCTTAATACAGACACACCACAACCTGCTGAATACACAAATCACCTGCCAAGTACACACACGCAGATTGCTGAATACACACACACAGAGTGC